GTGATCGTGCGGACATCGGTAGTAACGGCAAAAACATAAGCGATGTCATCGCTGATGAAACAGATGATGTACGTTTTATCAAGCGTAATCTAAGTTTATTAAACTTTGCATGATCTTTACCTCTTTCAGGTTTGAAGGCTTGTTCCTGGAAATCTATGAAATAACCTTTTCCCTGTTTGGTTTGATGAGCTGTAAACAAACATTGCGCTGCGCATTACGACAGGCACATCACAGAATGTTGGGGCCATTTGATACAGAATATATTATTACGAATGTGTATAATTCAGGCTGAGTACTGGGTCACAATAGATGTTTTGAGTATTTATAGCACTTGACCAGCGGCTGAAGAACTCTTCCTATGATCAACTAGTTGGATCACCCGCCATCTACGTGATGATACGGTTTCGGCACTTCACCATTCATCAGTATTTGGTCGTTCGACTTCCAGAAATGATTACCTTTTCAGGGGATAACGACAAACGGATTTCTCCATATCTTGCACGTGTTGGTTGGCTGTTTGGTCTCTGTTAAAAATAATGATGACTAAAGAGATGTCATGATAGCCATGCGCATGATTATCACATTTCCAATGGCTAAACCTCTCAAATTCGCTTGTTTTACACAACTGGCAATGAGCGTTATCGGTGTAGAAATGACGTTGCGGCGTTTCATTGAAGTAAAGCATCGCTTTCTTCCAAGGAAAGACTTTGTAAATAATCTCTGTCAGTCTGTATCCTAACTTTGGGAGATGTTACGGATTATGCGTAATTGTCTCAATGTGGAACTTCATCTGCCTCCATGGACCTTAGCCTCCACAATCCACATTTTCGTCACTTATCAGTTGATGGTTGTCATCAGGGTGTGTGTGGAAGGATCAGCAGTTTCTGAACTGGGCAGTTCTTTCCCTCCTTCCATCTTTGACAATGCCAATGACCTTCAAGCGCTCAAAGCATCTCATCGTTGTTGTTTTTCGACCTTCATCTTGCTTTCGAGGTCAGAGTTTGCCATATTGAAGTGAGTCCTCTGACGGAATCTGTAACGTCGCATTCATAATTACGGTATTTCTTTACCCCCAGTAGCAAATATACCATACGGGTGAAGCATTAGACACGAAGTTTTCCACCGTGGAACAATGAACCAGAACGTGCTCACAGACTGAAATCCAAACTTGGGGCAGATTTGGTATTCAAACCAGCATTCAGCATTCAAAGGGACATGAGGGATGCTTAATCCGTGGGCCATTGTTCCACACTTTAGAGGGCGAACAACTCTGTTGTATAACAAATTAACGCCAGGTGTTCCTGAAATGTCAACTATGTCATGTCCTGTCGGAAGCACCGGAAGAATGCTGTTGTACCATTGAACATCCTGCTTCAAGCCGACTCCATCAATTGTTAGAAATTACACATTAGGAAGGTTACGTGTGGTGATATATTACTCATGAGTTATTATTTATAGTTATAAAATATTCTCCATGAAACTCTTCTACTTTCAAAGTTGCTTAGCTTAAAAACAAACAATGAGTCACCCAACAATATGTCTATGGTGTAAGATGTACCGCAATGAGAAATCCCTTGACCTACGCAATCCGTGCCCTGACATTCCTTTATGACGGCCCCTATGAAAAGTAGCTCTGAACACCATGGTACAGGGACATATAGTCAGGTCGAATAGGGTTGTAATTTGCGTCAAGAATTTGTCACCCACGTATCAGCCATAATACTTTTAGAAAGATCTGCTGCGGCTTGAATGTTGTAATGTAATGTAATATATAGTCACCACGTTTGGTGACAAATACTATGGATCAAGAAGCAGTTTTTTCTAAGAAGTTTCATGTGAATGGCGATGTACAAAGTTGAAAAAATTAATTTAAAGCTGTTTTTCTCTGAGATTACAAAATTCAAGCAAAATCTTTGAGGGTACTGAGATCATTGGTAAAATAATTCCTGTTTCTAGCTACTTTCTGTGAATATTTAGAAAATCGCTTATTTGAAGTTTGTACATGTATTAGGATTATGGTTAATCTTAGACTGGAAGTTTGGTGGTACCTGACAGCTGAATATCTCTTATATGGATGCTATGTATCTTTAGTACCCATTAATGAGATCTCTCAACTTCTCTCGGTGGACGCTCTATCAGTTGAAATTACAGAGGCGATCTTCTCAATTACAGACACCAAGGTTGTTGTCATACCATTTGATGTTGGTGCAATTATCATGACAGATAGCACAAGTATTCTATCCAATCATTGGTTCGCCGAAATCCACATAATAAATCGGACCTCCGAGTGAGATGTGGTGATAGTGATATGACTTCCTGATGTTACTCAAAGCCACCCTATTCCTCATTATACATATCGAACAACATGATTTATAACAGTGAAATGTATGCAAATGTGGATCAACAAGTGGAATAAACTTTCAAACAGAGCGATTCACAGTGAATGTTTATATAGGCGTCACCGCTGATTGCACACCTTATTTTCTTTCCCTCGCCTGGGTTTGCCTGGAACAGAGACAGCCAGGGATCGGTTGTTGACAAAGGTTGGCATTATCAGGGCGGTGATCGTCTCCAAGTCTTCTAGACCCATATCATCAGCCAGAATGCCTGGTTGAGTATGGGAAATCATTTAAGTGCTCATCCATTTATATAAACATGTACATAACCGTTTCTCAATCACTGGTATTAAGCGTAACAAGGAACCCTATGTAATGTACGTTAAATGTATGGGAATTACGTGCTGCGGTGCAATGATGTAATTTAAATGTATGGGGTGTTCTTGGATCCTTGTAATGATGCTACATGTGTGGAGTGATCTTGCATTCCTGTATTGTAAGTTACTTGTATGGGTTGAGTTTTGGATCCTTGTAATGAAGTTATATGTATGTGAGATTCTTTGGATCCCCGTACTGGAGTTACATGGCGTATGGGATGTTCTTGGATCAATGTAACGAGGTTACATGTATGGGATGTTCTTGGATCCAATGTAACGAGGTTGCACGTATGGGATGTTCTTGGATCAATAGCTAACGAGGTTACATGTAGAGGATAAATCTTGGATCAATGTAACAGGGTTGCATCTTATGGGACGTTCTGGATCAAACGTAACGAGGTTGCTACGTGGGATGTTCTTGGATCCCTGTACTGAGGTTACAAGTGAGATGCCCGGATCAATGTAAAGAGGTTACATGTGATGGATTAGCTTTGCAGATCCTTGGAATGTTACACGTGTTGGATGTTCTTAGTATACATCCTCTTGTCTATCCTCAGACCTACCTCCCCTGATTCTGTTAGTCTCTGGACGTTGAAAAGTTCAACCCAATGTGTTGAAATTATTCCCTCGTTGGCCTTCTCCATTACAGAAAGCGAGAAAGGAGCAGGTCGCCATTCTTACGACTCATCATCCAGGACAGAGCCTGCAAGCTACGAATTTGGGGATACAGGGCGTTCCTACAGCCTGGTGGGAGCACATGGAGAGGTTTGAATGTCACAGAAACGATATTTCAATTGAGAAACACTGATGTCATCGGCTACACAACGATTGTGTCTTACAATTAGTTTATTCTATACAGACGTAAGTTTTAAAAACATACTGTTAATGCCTGTGAAAAAGCTGTAAATTGAAATCCTCCCTCACAATTTGAAAGACGTATTGTAAGATATTACCTCCGTATGTTGTACATATATGGACAACTGACCCTTTGTACGATCTAAGTATGCATCTTTCAATGTTGCCAAGCGACCAGTCACTGTTCTGTATGCTAGGCCTGCTAATTTATCGTCGGTGGATCTATGATGACCTATGATTTATCAGTATCCATCCATGAGACATGCCAGTCCAGGGCCTCTTCGTCACGCATGTATTCATGACGGGGGCAGTGGGCTAGCCTAGTCATGAAAGCTTGGTCGCTCGTGACCTCAAGTTTGATTCCCGACATGGGTACAGTGTGTGAAGACCTTTTCTGGTGGGAATATGGCTATAAGAAACTGTTTCACATGCCTATTCATGACCTTTACAAGACAAATATATGTCCAATACATGGCATGTACATGGCCCCTTGAGTTCGTTATAACCGTATGTTACTGTACATGACTGTATTACATACTGTACCCTAGAAGTGAAACGGTATACCGCGGTATATAGTAGAACCACGGTATTTTACCTTCGGTTAGGAATACCGTAATGCAATCCCCTAAAATTTGTATTTTCGGTTTTAGTGCCGTCATTTTATTAACCTGTTAAACCTTTTTTCAAAATGTCTAGAAATTGAATCATTTTCGTTCTTTTTTTTTGTATGATCATATCCTCATATACCGAACCGAAACGGACCGAACCGAAGGTTGTACCGCAATACGTACTGTACCGTAGGTAAGAGCTGCACCATTTCACCCCTACTGTACCCACCTCTGCCGGTTCCTGCTCTGACGTCTTGTCACCTTCATTGAGGTTTTCAAACATCGCGGTCGATATCATTTGTACTAATCTGAGCGAGGAGAAGATATAACCAGAAATGACAGTAGTTTGAATTATCAGTGTTCAGCTTATAGAAGTTTGAATCAGACAAACCCAGCGTGCCGCTATTAGAGGCAACGCCGAAACGTGTAAACCAAAGTAAACTACACCTGGACGAGCAAACCACTCTAGTGGCATATTTACGACAAGCAATGAGAGTACCCTGAAACCTCTGGTAAACCCGACTACCATGGCGGTCTTGGCAGACACCTTTGTAATTTTAAAGAGGCACCTCGTTCAAGAAACAAAACTTTGGGTAAAAAATCTCTAATATCATATAAGCTAAATCCAAGTCATTATCTTTTAGATCTCCCCGTGAACTTATATTTGCCTTAAACTAGGGCAAACATTGTTGGTTTGCGGGCCGACGAAAAATGGAATCTACTTAGCATGATATCAATCCTGGTTTTATGATCTCAAACAAATGTTTTGGCGTTATTAGGTGAATAATTACCAGCGAAACATTTTAGTGCTTCAACTTACGTCATCATGGGCCACCATTTCCTCGATGGCCGTCCACCGCTATATACGGGTTGGCCTCGAAACTGGCGTACCAAGATGCCATCTGTTCCCCCTGCCGAGTCCTGTAGCCCTCGACCCCAGGGTCCACATGCGTTGTGAGATCAACCGGCCTCGGTCGGATCTTCAATACCAAAGCCCATTTGGGCTATACTGTCCAAGGCTCTCTCGTGGAGCTTGAAAAATCCATCCCAGCCAAGCCGTTAAAGTACCGTCCCGGGTTTAAACCACCAAATAGATGGTTCTGGTAATTCTTCAAAATTTGAACCGTAGCCAACGCGCAACCGTCCCGCAAACAGCTGTCCAATACCGGCACGGGCAAGTCATCGCTATGGCCCGGGTGTAATGTTAAAACGGGAGCAGGTGTATGCACCGTCGAAAGCTCTGCGGAAACCAAAAGCAAAACGAAGAAGGACCGCAAATCGATCATCTCCAAGAATGATTGACTTTTAGAATCACTAAAACCATAAAAACTGGTTCATCCCTATTTTATCATGTGTTTCAGCAACATTTCAGGATGTAATCATGAACTGCTTTATCAACATAGACGACGGGGCGGACCTGCGATGTTTGAGTGGTCACCATGGTGGAGGCAGGGATAACCCACCGTTAAAGCGTTCACCAAGCTCGTCGCCGAGGCCGGGTTCGATAAACCAACATGAGTACAATGTGTGAAGCCATTACTGGGTGTTTGCCGCCGATATTGCTGGAATAATGTAAAGGCGGTGTACCAAATTGACTGCTCCACTCCTCACTATTGGTGGACTTACATTGTCATCTTGGCGACTTTAGAGATGCTGGTGGTGAGTTCCGGAACAGCTCCCTCAGCATCTGAAACATGGGAGGCCTGCGAGGCCTGTGAGTCCCTCGTTCTGGAAAACTCCAGTGGATGGTAAGATTCTCCCACGCAGGTCCCTCAGCATTTCCAGGGTCCTCCTGAGAGATCGAATTCGGCAGGTTCACGATGTCCATGGCCATGGCTCATCACGAAAGCCTGCACTGATGTGAACAAGTTGTCAAATAAATATCTTGGTCCCCGTCTCAACAGAGCGATCGTAACTCTACGACACTCAATGGTAATGTGAGTTGGGTGCATATCCTAGTTCTGTAGCAGGGTTCGAGCCAGCACCGTACCGCAAACCACCGTCTTATTCATACGGTATAGGAGTTACGACAGTCGTAGCTACGATAGCTTCGAAACGGGGGACTAGGGCCAAGATTTCGAGCTCTCGCATAAAGAAAAGTCGCAAGTTAATGTTAATGTATGGCACTTAATGATCATCTTAACACTAGGAGAGCTTCGAAAATCTAGAAGGTTCTTAGCAAGTAATTTGTAGTAAGTCCCATAGCATAGATGTGGAAATCGTCGCAAGCTACCATCGCATCGTGAATGGTTCACAGTTAGATAATTGTGTTCAACAAAATTAAAATTCTAATAAAACAGTGAAGGATGATTATGAGTTTCAAAACCTGAATATATGTGCTGGAATTGATTAACATGTATGAGCGAAGTTGACTGATCTCTTCATTATCTAGTCTGACTTTGAACCAGTTTTCTTCAAGAAGAAAATGTCCCTAACCCTTTAAAAAGGGATTTATAACTTATGATGGTCACCACTTAAAAGAAACTGCCACGTGGGTCTAGGAATGAAGGTTTCCCTTGAGCCTGGGGTTGAGTGGTGCAGTGCTTTAACATAATTGGTTCTTTTTCGGGATGGGGCGGTGGGGGTAGCCTAATGGTTAAAGCGTTGGCTCGTCACGCTGAAGACCCGGGTTCGAATCCCCACATGGGTACAATGTGAAGCCCATTTCCGGTTTCCCCCGCCGTGATGTTGCTGGAATATTGCTAAAAGCGGCGTAAAACCAAACTCAGTCAGTCAGTCAGTCTTTTCGGGGATTGTAATACTTCAGGCAAATCTTTTAAGATCTTGAGAATCCTCATGTTAAAAATTCCTCTTGCTTCCAAATACCTTTTGTGACTATAAAAGTGCTTACTTGTTTGTATGAAGGATTATGGTTAATCGTTGACACGGGGATTCGATGGTATATTCGCTAGACACGGTTTTAAGGTTACAAAAGATGATGAAAAGGTGTTTGTTAAGGCAGAATGTTTAACTCAGATAATACTCACCAGGTTGAAATGAAGCTATGTAAATGTTTGAACCTTGGCTTAACCATGTTATTACAGTTAATGTGTATTAACTGACATGATTCTGACCTAGGTGTGATAGATTTATAACATAACACCATTGACAAGCCTCGACCCAGATGTTTGTTTATTTAGGCGCAGGCATTTATGTGCAATCAAAAAGAAAAAACTTAGTCATTCCTGCTCACTGTCGTACTGAAGTCATGACATTTGCCCACCCTCTGAAAGTGCGGGGTGGGGTGAGGTGGTAGTGGCTCTCAATACAAGCTCTTGCAGTAAACATGAAAGGGAGAAACTTTAACAAGTGATTGTAGTTTCAAATTCTTTTTAATGCACTTAAATATCTAGGCTTGATTCTAGCGTGGACTTCTACCTATCCCAAACACATAAAAATGTTCCTTTCAAATTTTGTTTCCTGAAATTTGTGATGCATTTATTGCAGATTTTGTTTTTTGGGGAAGTACCAAGATAAAAAAGTCAAACAAAATGGGGATCGTGAGGTTGGAACATAGCAAAACTAATTTGCTTGAGGTTGACAGAAAATATGTAAAAAACAACAACATAAAAACAGCTGCATTTGTATCATTTTCTTGGTGAGATCGAGGACTTGTTGACCGACCCTCGTACATAGGTTCGTGACCAATTTGTAAAAAAAATGAAAGCAAATGTCACTTGAAGTTTACCGAGAAAACAATATGTGAAATGCTGGAATTTCTCATTGATAACATCTTTGTGAAATTTGGGGGTATCCCCATGGGTACTAATTGTGCTCCCATCCTTGCGGATATGTTTCTTTATGCATATGAATCAGAATTTCTACTTGGGTTGGTAAAATCAAAACAAGGTAATTTGACCAAGAAGTTTGACTTACGCTTTCGGTACATAGATGTTCTAATATCGTTCAATAGCCATCATATCGCCAATTGCCTTCCATTGATTAACCACCTGAACTTGAAACTAAGGAGACAAGTGAGACCGCCTCAACTGTTTCATATTTAACTTGTTTGAGTGGCATTTTAGAAGTTGAGACGTACAATATAGAACAAGTTTTATGGATAACAGAGATGTAGTTACAATGAGATGTTTGAACAATAGATGCGATGGCATCCATCAGCTTATGATCCACTCCTCCACCAAGCCCAATCTATTGTATAAACATCGCATCTATTGTTCAAACATCTCATTGTAACTTCATCTCTGGCTTCCATTCACTATCCTTTATTGTACTTACTGGCTTCTTCAGCTTACTGCTTAGCCAATCATGGCAATTATGTTGTTTCCTTTGTCTATTATGTTGTTTCATTGTTATATACAGTATATATATGCAGCTCCTACACTTCATGTATCACTCTTGCTTGACAACGGTACAAGAATCTGTATCGAAACGTCGCACTCACGAAATAAAGAAGTTGTTATCCATAAAACCTGTTCTATATTGTTTCATATTTAGATCTATGCATAAAGATTCAGAGTGACACAAGGCTATAAAACAAAAGGAATCATTTCAACTTCCCAATAGTCAACTTTCCTTTCATGTCGAGCAGTATTCCAACATATCCAGCCTTTGGTGTTTACATTTCACCACTTTTGAGATACAATCGAGCGTACTTTTTGTATCAGGGTTTCAAAGAGCGCCATACCACTCTTGCTCAGAAGTTGTTTGATCAAGGTTAGACTGACTGACTGAGTTTGGTTTTACGCCGCTTTTAGCAATATTCCAGCAACATCACGGCGGGGGACACCAGAAATGGGCTTCACACATTGTACCCATGTGGGATTCGAACGCGGTCTTCGGCGTGACGAGCCAACGCTTTAACCATTAGGCTACCCCACCGCCCCGTCCTAGGGAATGTACACTATGGAATAAAGAGCGTTACTGCGAGAGAACAACCGCTCTTCACACAGATTCCATTTGGCGTACAAAAATGGTCATCTAATAAAATGACATCTAATGATAAACTTTATCAACACTTTTACGACAAGAGTTTATAGGAATCCTTATGTTTACTTTCGAAGATGAATGTGCTAATGAAAACCAACCGCAAATCAGCAATACGTACATACAGAGTCCGGTGTTAGCAAGGAGACACAGCCATGTCGGTCGTCGAACACAGCGACACCAAAACCGTATGGCAAATACAATCGAGATGGTCATTGAAGCAAGCCCTTGTGCTACCATGTAATGTCCCAGTCTGGCGTCACCCGGACAGGAGTTAATGTGCATGGCCCCTGAGACAAATGTACATGCTTATAATTAAATCATGAACACCATGATGGTATTGGAATAACATGTAAACGTAAACTTGGGATTGGATTGTATATTTAATCAGTGGTTATGCTACATAATCATGAAAATCATTACAATTATTTACACATACGTATCCAGGCGATGATATATGTATACATGTCAGCACACAAACATCACTCTGTAACACACAAGAGCATGCACAAAATACATACTTATAATCAGGGGGATGGTAGCAAGTAAAATACACCCGATGACGAACTGGATATGACCTGAAATATACGGAATCGTATGATGTACATGTGGAGTATGAAAACAAATACAGATGCATATATATGTAATTATGCATTTGAAAACAACAACATTTGCAATATTTTAGCAGACTTTGTAATATTATCTTAAAAGTATGGTCAATTAAAAGGCATTTTTTTCTGTGTTTGTGAAAAGCTGTTCTATTACCACCAAAGATTCTCTGTTGTTTTACCATTAACGTCGGCTACAGATTTCTTGTTTTATTATATATATTAATTAGCTTTAACTAAGGTTAGGAGATTACAATGATGTGGAACGGCCACATAGTTCGAGTTAAGGACTAGAAGCAGTAGCAGCTAGGGGGCCATGACAGGGTTGCCGTCTCTCCACAGTCATTACAATTTCATTGTACGATTCCCGTTACATTAAAACAAGCGGTTATAATAGTGAGGATACCAAAAAAAGGTAAGAGTATCATGTCCAACCAGTGAATAACATCATAAACTCATGTGGAGCCATGTCAGTTGGAGCCATGTCAATTCCTTGACCTACGCAGCTTGATTAAGCACCATTAAGCCTACCGAGAGGGTAGTACATACTGAACCTTTCACGTAGCCACCAACTTCTGAACATGTGTCGGTCGATCGGGCGCAAAAATAAATAAAGACAAAATTATCTGAATAACGTTCTTGATTCTCATTTTCTGTAATTCTTATTACGATGTCTCGCGTTCTTTGGACTTGTGGCAGCGACTGATTAAAAGATAAACATTTTATATGACGAGGTGGTACGTTTTAGGTTTGAGTCAGGGTTGATTTTTTTACTTTTTTTTTGGTTTGTTTTTGTTATTTGTTGTTTGTTGGCATGATTTTTGTTTTGTTTATGTTTTGTTTTTGTTTTGTTTTTGTTTTTGGGGGTGGCCGTGGGGGATAGCGCAATAAAATTAGAAGAGTCGGTCGGGCGATGAAAAACACAGATTATAAAAATGCTGCCCTGAAAGCCACAAAGTCATCTCAGAGGCATTTCTGAGGAAGTGTCACTGGCCTTCTCAGGTTCAGGTTGATAAATCAGTAAATGGGAAGTGGCCATGGTTACTGGACGATATCAAATCATTGATATTTTACGTAAAGTTTCTTGGTGAAATTATCTTGTTTTGACTTTGTCAGGGGACAAATTCCAATTCACGTGCTCAAGAAACGGTCAGTAAGATGGGGAGTACAATCTGTGCCCATGGGGATGCCTATTTGTTATCAAAGCTAACATTATACAAGGGCTTCTAATAAGAAGAGAAGTATTGGGAAAACTCCAACCTTGTTCTTAACCCTCATTACTTATGACCAAACAATACACATGAAGCTTAAAACCACGTAGATGGATTTCTTAGTCTGTCAGTGAAAGTGTGTCAGTAATACCTTACATTTGAGCACTTTCGAAAAGGCATTGTGTATTCCTAGCTTTAGTTATCGGAGCTGTGTCAATTTACACACGTGGCATAGGGGTACATAAAGTACGTGGTCAATCTGGTTGCTGCGAGGGTTAGATGGCAGACTTTGTTTGCTAGCGATAAGGTGCCTTACTCTACCTGCGAACGTGGTTTCAAGAATATGCACTTTACTAAGAAAGTTTTCATAACACATGTTACATTTACATTCATAACCTCGGCTATGGGGGCGGTGCCAATTCACATTTGTCAGAGATGTACACAAAGTCGTGGCTGAGTGGGTTAGGTCGCTTACTTTGTGTGCTGGCGATAAGATACCTCACTCTATCAGTGTGGTTCGAATTCCGGATGAGACCCAACCCCCAAAGTACCATAATCGCTAATATAATCCAAAATGTAACATATCTTACATTTGACATATCTCTTAATGGCATTGTGTATTGCTTGTACCTGTCTTCTGTCTAGGTGATGCGAAGGTGTCTTGGCCAGTGTCTGTGCTACCCTCATCGTCCTGTGTGTCTACTGTGAGTTCCACTACAGTGTTGCCTTGACGGGAAGCAGTGTGCCCCTCCACTCGGATATCTTCCCCATCCTTGTCGAGGCCATATTCGCTCTCAACTCCTGCAGGCCAAGTTAAAGCAAACCAGAATGTAACAATGCAAAATGTCAGTCTAGAAATGAAACTTAGCCTCAGTATTATTCGTTACACTGCTATACTGAGTCTAACAAAACCTTGTGGAAGGTCGCGTCAGGTAACCTTTGAGCGACCTATGGCCAAATATGTAACAAATAATACTGAGGCTAAGTTTACTTAGACTGTAAACATGTGTGACATACGAACTAAATCTATCGGTACTGGGTCATTATAGTATTACTCTTCTATTTGTCCTGATTTTTCCCCTAATCCTAAGATTGTCTATACGTGCGCACACATACAAACACACAAGCTTCGAATTCTGTCTTTGCTTGTCATACCGGATGACATGTGGACACTTGAACAAGGAAGTAGTAAAATAGCCAATCGAGTTTACACTAAGTACCAGTCTTTATAAACATACTTTCTTTTATCGTTCTATGGTTCTATGCTTAGAGGAAGTGTTTAATTTGAATCTGATTTGGCGACAAAAAATATTGCACCACAAAACAGATTTGAGTATTTGTAATTTCTTTCCAAACAACTGTCATCATTGGACGGAACATGTTTTAAAACACAAGTAAGGTAAGGTACTACATCATATATTAGAATATGTTGGCAGTTAAACGTGAAAATACGCAGGTAATAGCCTCGTTATATTCAGCAATAGCCGCGAAATGAATGACATCTTAGTTTCCATAGAAATTCACTGACTGACGTCAGGTATTGTCAGTATTGAATTTAAACGATTTTATGACCTAGTTTGTGCAATTAATACCGTCCTACTTTCTTAGGGTACGTATCTACGTATGTACATAACAATGTTATACGAGCCTTCCAGGAAACTATGTCCTGAAACACGTGTTGTTCCACGAATGTATGCGCTTTCATTAGCCACGTAACGCCATAACCCGCAGTATAAGAGCATGCTAGATGTAAAGACCGGTACATACTTCAGCTATGACGCTGGAACCGGGACTTGAAAATATTCCTGGTAATCACTCGTTACCAGGGTAACAAGTTGACGTTTATTGACGTTTCAGTTCAATTGCAAACGTCAAATGAGTAATTCAGTCTCACGAAAAGGACCTGCATCCACAAAACACAGCTTGATTACCATATTGACAAAATATGTCCGCAAAACAGGGTAGCTTGTGCTCTCTTACCGGTAGGGGCGGTGGGTAGCCTAGTGGTTAAAGCGTTGGCTCGTCACGCCGAAGACCCGGGTTCGAATCCCCTCATGGGTACAATGTGTGAAGCCCATTTCTGGTGTTCCCCGCCGTGATGTTGCTGGAATATTGCTAAAAGCGGCGTAAAACCAAACTCAGTCAGTCAGTCAGTCTCTTACCGGTAACGGTATCATGGCCACAGTTTCTCATGGACGCTCCAACGAACTGACCAGATGGTGCCCACATGAATACGTGCAAACACCTATAGTCCGTTTGATTTCATTTGAGACCGAGACCGATGAATTGCTCACTAACACAAAATCTAATAAATGCAACATAATCAAACTTTGTACAGTCACATGAAATCGACAGACCAACTCCTGATGATTTGTCTCATAATTTTGGACACCTGAATAAAAAAGTTGTTCAACAAACGATCATTATTTTGTTGTCACTTTTCTCTTTTTCTTACGAGGGAGAGACCACTTGCTGGTAGAATAGCCAGGTGTGCGAGGTGTACGTGTGAAATTGAAATTTCACTACACACGCTTGTCGATTACATGTACCTGTCTTTTTTATTAGGGTGTCTGTCAATTTCATGTGACTGAGCAAAATTTGTATTTGTTGGGACTATTTAGATTTTGTGTTAGTGAGCAATTCATCGGTCTCAAATGAAATAGTTGCGGGTACAACAGCGTGCAGTAAACGTGGACAAAGTACTGTGATTATGTGTCCCAGTCCACTCAGCTGTGAATGGCTACCTCGTTAGGATGGAACCGCCACATTAACTTGGTGCGATTAAATGGCTGCAAGAGTTGTATGATCCCCAGGGAGTTGAGATTGAAAAAAATACGTGCCGTTGAGATTGACATCCTAAGAGGGAAAAATAAAGCGCCTGAACATTGAAACCATAAGTAAAATCTAAGTGGAACAATTCTTGGTTTATATAAGAATATAAGCGACAAAACCTTTCCCACATGCACAAGAAACTTCTGTCAAGTGCAGGAACGAGTGTCGGGTTCTGAGTGTCCTACGAGTAAGCGTTTATCAACTAGTGAAGATACTAGGTGTTCGCAAACAAGGGAACAAATCCAGTTTCACCGATGGTACCCGTAACAAACACATGAAAAAGAACCCCACATATGGTCAAAATGAAGATCATTTTGGTCATTTATGCCTCAAATATGACAATGTCTTCCATAAAACGTTTTGAAAGCTGCTCTTGTATGAAACACATGTTCTACACGTGGTCTCACCTTAGGCACGTGAGTTTGTTCCAAATTGTCTTCTGTTCACCCAACAGAAAATGGGTACCCGGTGGGATAATCATGTGGCTATTAACCTTCTAGCGCCTCACAGGCAGCTCGGGTTATTCGGGGTAATAATAATCAGTTTGTGATTATAGCGTGCTGTGATCAACAAGTGAGATGGATATAAATGAATTATTATTATTGTATTACTTACAGCTATATATTCCACATCAACAAAACCGTAACAAACATGTGACCTCAATTACCTTCCTTGTCAACAGGGAATGTTGACATTTCATATTGTTCTTGTACGCCGGATAACTGCATGGTTTGATCAAGTAATGTTCCACAAAAACACAGATATGTGCACTGGTGACTGAGTTGGGTTTTGCACAGCTTTTAGTAATATTCTAGCAATATCACGGCGAGGGACACCAGAAATGGGCTTCACACGTTGTGCCCATATGGGGAATCGACCTCGGGCCCCCGGCTGCACCACCGCCCGTGCACTGGTGGACTGGTGGACTCTCATCTTAATCTACATTTGTACGTATGGACCAGGATGTTACAGAGCTGTCAATCAACTGATATCTGACACGCCGTATCTGCTAAAAAATACCATCATATCGGTATTCAACAAGTCAATTTTATGCATAACCGCTCTTCTTTTCACTGTGAAAATCGTATTTGGCCATTGACACTTTGTTATACCAAAAACAGGTTCTGTAACACCTATATGCTCTGGATGCAAAGGTTAAGTTTATCTAAAATACTAAGGTACAATATTCGAGATAAATATCAAAGTCAGTCAGTCGGTTGTGACAGTCATCCCATTAAATAGATAACACACTCACACACACTCACACGCTCACGCACGCACGCACACGCACATGATAAAAATGGCCACAACACATTTACTCATCTTACAAATCGTCGCTTCTCGTGAATTTAATGGCTGCATTGTCAGGTCCAACCAAAGTTTTACAGACCTTCGTCATATAGCTGGAATATTGTAATATAGTAAAACATCAAACAAATATTGTACAGATCAAGATGGACGCAGTATGGAATTGAAGTATGTTATAACAAAGACTGGTCATTGAAATATTTATTTATATCCACTGACAAATATATTAAGACTGTTACATTTGATGAATGGAGTCAAGTGTCTAAGTCTATGAAAGTCTATAAAATATGCATATAATTTACCTCTTCTTCTGGACACAGAATATGTTCGAAAACGTCTATAATTGTTGACTGAAGAAGTATGCCTTTCTTATGAATAGGTACAATTTGGCTGAACATAATGATCACAGACAACATGATCGATTAAAACACTAAGGGACAACTGAACATATGACACAAAAACATTTGTTCAGAAAAACTATGTAATTCTTGTCCAGGACTCGATTCTTCCCTGCTGCGCATATGTCATCTCAGTCCATCCAGTAAAGTTTGTTCGAATAACCTGGTTCATCCACGCTGAAGCAACTGCCAAACCCGCCACCTGTTTAATCGTCGCACTTGCACCTGGCTCTCACACACCACACGCACAGCAGGCAAAAGAAGATCCACATGGGCACAGAGAAGCCGAGGGCGTGGGTGAATAGAAGCGTATCATTGCACGGAGACGAGGGCGAGCCACAGGAACCTAAACGGATATAAATAGTTTCGCATTTTCTCTGTCGTAGTCCTGTGTTTCGTATAAGGGAGAAGGGCACAATTTTACGTATATTTCCATTGCAGATAGCCAGTAAGTAACTGGAATATTACCCTAATCGCCCGTTTGTTGAGTAATTTGGTAAATCTATAGGACCTTCTTCATAACACGTTTTATAATACATATAAATAATTTGCAATATGCTTTATCTTGAAATCACCCATTTAATAATGACTATGTATTTTTTTATAAACAAGAGTACAATTATCAGTTTAAAGACGTTCAAACCTGTATCACTGTCAAATATAAAATACAACCAACGAACGATTACGAATTACTGCGACAAGCGTCCAGAGAAGCTCACCTACAATTCCCCATGCGATATTGAACAATCCAATGATGACACAGATAGCGCCTATGAAGTTTCCTGAAATACACTTGCAGCAGTACCAGCAGGATGCCAGGATTGGGATGACGACAGAGGTGGCTCCCTGGGCTATCATGTAGCTAGCGAGTCTGGTGTGTCCTGGGCACAGATTGTAGTCAAGGATGCCTTGAGAAACGAGAACATCAAATATCTACGTTGGGTTCACTGGAAGGCTTGGAGAATATAGTTATTTTCTGTTAACACATTAACCTGACATTCAATGGGAGACTAACGTTCCTTTTTAAGTAAGTGTCTTTCGGATTTAAGTAATAATGATGGCAAAGTTCCTGCAGCCAAAATATTTAACACCAAACAATTTCATACTGTTCTCTCTGTGCTTTTGTGTGCAGAATATATACAGAAGAATGAGGACTATTGTTATGGATAATCAACTTCTTTATTCTATATAGGCGACGTTTCGACATAGATTCTAATGTCGTTGTCAAGTAAGTATGTATACAACCATGTATATCTTCTTTACTGGCTTCCTATCAACCTACTTAATCCTGTATACCATACCATCTGTGTTATCAACTTCTTCTATTGTATAAACAACTCATAAAATTTACAAAACACTTGTGAATATGAGCTCCCAAAATTGCTTGAAACCATTTCGAGACAAAAAAAGTTACATAAACTTATCACATCATAGTCATGTAGCATATCAAAATGTAGCTTATGATGCATGATATAGAAATAACCATATGATATGCTTCTAATTTTCAATGTGGTGACATTATCATATAAGTTAATCAAATATTGTCTTTCCTTCATCTGACACCAACATTGTAAGTATTGGACTACATTAATTGAAACCATTTATTCAATTAATGTTTTCTCCATTTCATAATATTTACTACCATAATTAAATGACAAATGATATAAAGCCAAATTGCAGTCAATATAAACTGAATGTATTAATACAGGAGTGACATTTATATCATAGTTAACAGATGACTACATATTACAAGTGGGGTATGCAAGTGTAATATATAATGTGTACTGGTATATTCATTTTAACTTTCACAAGGATTTAGCATTGTTAAGTAACTTGCATTGTCAATCAATCCGTCATTAACCTGCAAGCACAAAATATGCTGTTGAAATACAAGCTTCGAAATGATTTGACATACAAAAACACAAGCATGAATTCTACGCATACTTTTTCTTAATTTGGAAACAAAAAAATGCCCTCGTTAGAGAACATGCCTCCGCCTTGCACAGCAATCTCCATTCACTATTACATTTTCAAAGTACTACTGTGCACTTGTACTTTAATATACTTTCACCAAACCGCACACAGATAGCCCTTGTGTCATACCTAACCTAACCACCAACATATTATTAATATTCCCCATTTACTTAACATTGCAGTTATTTTCAAAGTGCCTCTGTGTGTATCTACTTTAACATACACTCTTCAAAAAAAGAATAGCAAAATAAAATTTGAAAATAGTGATCAAAAGTTTGTACGCATATGTCACATTAAGCATGTTTTGAGAGTTGAATATTGTTGTTGGTGTGGTTTAGAGGAACATGCGTGAGCGAATGCAACCATAAACTGTTATAAATGGTTTTATCGATCATGATTGTCATGATGAGTTTTAATGTTATGGAACACAATCAAAAGCCGCAAGTATTGCTTTTTTACGTGCAAAGCATGAGTACAACCTATGACTAAAAGACCCAAATGCATCTCACAAATTCATCCAAATCCTTTGCAAATACGGTGCTGACCGAAATATTGCCATTGGACAATTACAAGCTGGCGAATCAAAGAGTGTCGTGGCGAGGACTTTCAGCATTCATCCCAACACAACAACTCATTTGTGGGATCGTTTTGTGCTTTCCATTTCAACAAATGACCATCCAAGACCAGGAAGACCGTGAGTCACCACACAGCCCAAGATCTCTACATCCGGGTAACCCACCTACGTAACTGCCATCGTTCCGCCCGGGACACAGCACAAGCATGGTTTGGAGCCCGGAGAATGTCCGACCAGGCAATCAGGAACCGTCTCCGAGAGGCAGGTATGCGTGCCAGACGTCAAAAAGTTACCCCCTCTCTGATACGATTACAGGTGGTGTAACACGGTGCAGCCATGGAACCTTGGGAACCTTGCAGGCACATATGGTTCAAGCGACGTGACGGAAGACACCGTGTCTACAGACCACGCAGTGAACGATTTGCACCCAACTGCATGAGGCAAGTGGACAGATTTGGTGGAGATGGTGTCATGGTGTCATGGTGTCATGGTGTGGGGAACCATCTCATACACTTGCAGACCGGTGCTCGTCAAAGGCAATCTAAAGGCCGCTCGAAGTATCGATCAGATTCTCTGTCCTCACGTGCATCGCCTTGTCGACCGCCAGAGGGAGCTGTACCAACAGGACAACGCCAGACCTCACACAGCACGTGCTACAGTGGATACCTGGCCAATAACAACATGAATGTCCTTCCCTGGCCCTCCAGATGCCCGAGTCTGAAACCAATTCATTATCTGTGGAATCAGATCGATAAAAGTGTACGTCAACATCGTAATCCGCAATTTACCCTTTAACAGTTGTTCAACATGCTGCAGGAGGAATGGAGAAGGATTCCACAATGAAACATCCAACAACTGATTCGATCTGTGTCAAGGATACCTTGAATTATACCAAAGTTTTCAATGACATTTTGCTTTTCTTTTTTTTGAAGAGTGTACTTTCTTCAACATCTAATTGATTTGCAATGGGGACATACCCAAGAGATCCAGTAAGTTTCATTGAAATCCATCTGGTAGTTTTTGAGTAAAGTTTCTAACACATAAATACACACACACACACACAAACAGGGTTGAATACATACCCTCTGCAACAAACCTTCGGTTTTGGCAAAGGCAATTATGATCATAGTAATTATTATGCATACATATATCATTGTGATTCATGATATTAATGGTAGTTGTAAAACACCAATTACAAGGTGCATTTTGATATACTATATGCCTATGTTGTGATAGGTTTATAAAAATATGTTTTCTCACATTGGTGTTGCCGGTCGATTATGGGTACCGATGTTCAGTTACCCCAGAATGAAACGAACAATGTTTTTTCTGAGTCCATATGCAATTATCAGTGCTTCCATAAATTAACATGCACTTCCCACAGAAAGCATATTTGCTACATAAGCCCCTGCACTAATATAAGAACTAAATATACTGTATTCCTGTGCATAAAAATTCAACTGCACAGTCGACAAAAATAGATCATATATGTCCCGTTTATGATCCCTTCCCCACAAAAAATAAAGAAGAAACTCATACCTACACAAATTTCTTTTAAGTCGTCTTGGCTTTATAGATAGAAGCGTTGAAGAGATAAATATTTATATTAAAATAAAACCATTTTCGTCACCGAATTATTCCCTATTTTGGATCTTACCAACAACTATCATGGCCACAGGCACCGAACCAAAGATAAGGGAAAAGATGCAGACACACACTTTCACTAAAAAGGAAACAGAACATTAGTGATGCTTTGGACTGATACATGCATTGATTTAATCACAAATTTAAGGAGATTGCTATCGTTTCGTTTCAGTTGATATTATCCTTTCTTTAGCACAAATACAAGCTCATGAGGACACAACCTTGGTGGTTAACGAATCGTCCGTTTGTCATTCGAGTCCAGAGTCCTTATTGCAATACAGTTTGTGACATCCGACGTTATTCACTGCTAAATGGGTTACCTGACATCTTGTCATCGTCGTCAGGCATGTTGACAGAATGGTGACGAATCGGTGCAGACTCCTCTTCTGTCAATATATACACATTCAAAAGTGTGATCGTACCATTCATTGAAATATAGAAGTTGACTATCCATAGAACTTGGTTTTCTTCCCTATACCATCGTTATGTTTTATTACTGTAGCAAGGGTGTAAAGTTTAGATCGTTACATGTTTAAGAAGTAAACGTTTGCTCTTTTGTCATGTGTGGTGTGATAAAGTGCAGTCTTGCATTGAACTATTAAACTTCAAATAATTAGGACTCCTACCATGCCTTCAGTCAAAAAGAGACTTACCATACCTTTACCCACTACGATAACAAAATAGTTACCATAGTTGTACTTCAAACCAACATTATACCTAGATACTCACAATGCCTCTTGCCACCACGATAGCAAGGCACTAACTATGCCTCTTGCCAACACGATAACAAGACGATCACTATGCCACATGTCAACACGATAACAAGATACTCACCATGCCCTCTTGCCAACACGATAATCACTACAATGCCTCTTGCCAACAGGATAACAAGACGATCACTATGCCACATGCCAACACGATAACAGGACGATCACTATGCAACATGTTAACACGATAACAAGATACTCACAATGCCTCTTGCCAACACGATAACAAGACGATCACTATGCCACATGTCAACACGATAACAAGATACTCACCGTGCCTCTTGCCAACACGATAACAAGACGATCACTATGCCACATGTCAACACGATAACAAGACGATCACTATGCCACATGTCAAGACGATAACAAGACGATCACTATGCCACATGTCAACACGATAACAAGACGATCACTATGCCACATGTCAACACGATAACAAGACGATCACTATGCCACATGTCAACACGATAACAAGATACTCACCGTGCCTCTTGCCAACACGATAACAAGACGATCACTATGCCACATGTTAACACGATAACAAGACGATCACTATGCCACATGTCAACACGATAACAAGATACTCACCATGCCCTCTTGCCAACACGATAATCACTACAATGCCTCTTGCCAACACGATAACAAGACGATCACTATGCCACATGCCAACACGATAACAGGACGATCACTATGCCACATGTCAACACGATAACAAGGCACTAACTATGCCTCATGTCAACACGATAACAAGACGATCACTATGCCACATGTCAACACGATAACAAGACGATCACTATGCCACATGTCAACACGATAACAAGACGATCACTATGCCACATGTCAACACGATAACAAGACGATCATTATGCCTCTTGCCAACACCATAACAAGACGATCACTGTGCCACATGTCAACACGATAACAAGATACTCACCATGCCTCTTGCAAACACGATAATCACTACAATGCCTCTTGCCATCACAATAGCAAGATGCATACCGAGCCTTTAGTCAACAAGATAGCAATGTATTTACCATGCTTCTAGGTTACACAATAACAAGATTCTTTTCCTACTTATCTTTCAATCCAGTGATCAACAGCATTAGCATCGATCTGCGCAATTGGTAGCCGATGACAAGTGTCAACCAAGCCAGCGAGCCTGACCACCCGATCCCGTTAGTCGCCTCTTACGACAACCATGGGTTACTGAAGGTTAATTCTAACCCGGACCTTCACAGGTCTTTTATCCAATGGAATATTGGCCGTCAATTAGTATTATACATACTTGTGGCAACAACACCCTCCATTTTATCCTGAAAATGTACACTTCCCTCTCTGATTGTTTACTGGTCAGCTCGGACTGTCCACGAAGCTCCCCAACCAGGAAGATACAAGTATTGCAAACAGATAACATAGATTACTACGTCAATATCGACTTACTTTTTCTTTTGTTATGACTAATCTATTTATACATCTACTTGGCATGCTTATCTCGATCCAGCTGGCTAGATCCAGTTACACAGGTATGTGAGGATGGACTTTTGCACCGAAAAGTATTGAATTTAGATTACGTGGCCTTCAAAGTAGGATCGGTCGTAATACTGTCAACATTGTTGACTTTGGCAAAATCATACATTTAATCAGTCAAATGAAATTTTCTCCACATCGGCATCTAGTATTTACTTATTTTCGGTATTCAATATTTAGGAAAGACCATAAGTACTCAATACTAGCTTTAATCTAAGTTGGATCCGGTGATTTCAAGTTATGACTGATCTGACAATTTGTATCTCGCTACTTGTTCCCATTGCTTGGTTTGTTCGTCCTTGACTTGATTCCTGTGTGTTGTCTGCGGGTGTGTAACTAGGATGTTGCAGAACGTTGATAAAAAAGCACAACGGAAAAAAATATATAGGAAGTCTTCGAGCAAGTCTTGGATGCTAGGAATATTGTCACAATCCGGGTACAGAGACTTCAGGCTCATTGAACCGATAGATTAACCTCTGCATCTGAACTAATTCAAAGTCACTGGGTTTTTTGTTGTAAACAGAAATTACGTACAGGAAATAGCTTTTCATGGCCACAAAAATTACTGTTACACGTACGATTCCGACATCATCTAATGGAATAATTTCAGGTCTCTGCCAAAAGTGTCCGACATTGGCATCTGTGAAAGCTTTAATGTGAGAATACAGAGAGCTTCAATCCTAACAAGTAGTCGTTGTCTGATTGGTTAAATCCGTTCGGCCGTCTCGCGTTTGATTTGACGGTCAAAGGTCGTCAAAGGTTACCTGACACGACCTTCTGCTAGGTTTTGTTAGACTCAGTATAGCAGTGTAACACACTATGACACATGTTACGTTTGACCACTTTCTGAAAGGCATTGTGTATCCATAGCTTCAGCTATGGGGGCGGTGATAATTTACACTGGTCCATGTTGTGGAAGCCACGTTGGCTGAGTAGGTTAGATCGCCGACTGGCTCTGCTGGCGATAATCTCTGAAAGGCATTGTATACTAACAGTACCTGTCTTCTGCCTAGGTAATGCCAGTGCCTATGCTACCCTCGTCGTCCTGTGTGTCTTCTGTGTGTTTCGTTAAGCCTTCAGTGTTGCCTTGACGGGAAGCAGTGTGAGTGAATGCGTGAGTTTAGTTTTACACCCCACCCAGCAATATTCCAGCTATATGGCTGCGGTCTGCAAATACTCGAGTCTGGGTCAGACAATCCAGTGATAAACAGCATGGGCATCGATCTACACATTTAGGATACGATGACATCTGTCAACCAAGTCCACCAAGCCTGACCACCCAATCCCGTTTGTCGCCTCTTACGATGAGCATGGGTTACTGTATAGAATAAAGAAGAAGTTGACATCCTTAATATGTTGTCTTATACTTATAAATGATCCATCATGTTACGATAATGTACAGTTTCAGTTCCTGGTAGTTCAGGGCTTTGCGTATAGGAATTTCAGCACCAGTCTTTAACAAATAAAACCTTCTCTCTGCGCCATAGGCTTCGCTAATTGATTTTCTAGAAAGCCTAGTGGTGTAGAGGAACTTTGAAATGACCTTCAAATTGCGTGTTTGTACAGGGTGTCGATCCACCGGCCAAAAAACCAAAAATGCACACGAAGATGTGTTGAAACATTATGCACTGAAAACTCATGAATCTTCTGAGAGACACAAGGTTGCAGTGGATCATTTGAAAAGTCACCAGCCTCCATCTGGTACAAGTAAGGCTGAACAGTCCATACAGAAGCTGAATGCTACAGTTTTTAATAAACTAACTCATGCCATTGCAAAACACAACAGACCGTTTTCAGACTTGGCGTGGTTGTTGGATCTTGATGCTCAGAAAGGGTTAGACATTGGCGAAACTTACAGAAGTGATAAAGCATGAATTTGATGTCTTTCCACATTTCCAGTCTTGTACTAGTTTTAATGACAGAACAAAAGAATGTGAAACTGTGTACATTGTCACTTATTTTGTTTTTATTGGTTTGACTTTAACAAAATGGGTCCGCAGATTTCATTCAGGGCCTGTAGATTTTAAAGCCTGCAGGCAGCAGCAGGCCCTGATGGCCAACTGGTAAATTAAAGCATTGCAAACACTGGTTACTGAAGATCAATTCTAACCCGGATCTTCACGGGTTGACATCATTGTGCCCCTCCACTCCGGATATCTTCCGATCCTTGTCGAGGCTGCATTCACCCTCAACTCCTGCAGGCCAAGTTAAGCAAACCGAATGTATAACAATATAGAAATGTGTGACATACCACCTAAATCCGTCGGCACTTGGTCATTACAGTATTACTCTCCTATTTGTCCGGGTTTTTTCATATCCTCAGAATGTCTATGGTATGTACACGAAATTTGACAAAAGAAAACAACTAACGAAAAGTTATAATATAAGTAAAGAGTATTGAGGCTACTTTTATGTGGTGGAACACACATGCTAAGCGTATAATGTGCAGGGATAATAGTCACAACACACTCACATGTATACACACGCGCATTTTGGGGCAAGGAACCAGACCCCGTAAACATCCTTTGTCGCTATGGTTCTATGCTAACAGGAAGTGCTTAAGGTTAATCTGCCTTTCCAACAAAAATATTGCACAACAAAACAGATTTGAGTATTTTTTATTTCTTTCCCAATGTATAGAAAACCCTATAAACAACTGTCATCATTGGAAAGAACATGTTGTAAAACACCAAGTGGGATTGTAAGGTACTACATCATATCACAGAATATGTTGGCAGTTAAACGTGTAAATACGCAGGCCATAGCTTCGATATAATCACACATAACCGCGAAATTAATGACATCTGGACGTTTCGGCCTATTAAATCTTGGTTTTCATAGAAATGTAAAATCAGTACTGAATTTAAACTATTTTATGACCTAGTTTGTACAATAAAGACCGTTCCAATTTCTTAAGGTGCGTATCTACGTGTATACATGGCCATGTTATGCGAACCTTCCAGGAAACTATCTCCTGAAACACCTGTACAAGTATGCTGTTTCATCTGCCATGTAACGCGCATCACCCACAGTGTAAGAGCGTGCTAGATGTAACGACCGGTACATACCTCAGCTGTGGGCACTGAAACTGGCACTCGGAAATATACGTTGTAATCCTTCGTAACCAGAGTGACACATTGATGATTTGTTTACGTTTCTGGTTCCCGATCCCTTCAGTTGTTGGCAATATATAGCATGTTTATATATTGTATTGTCTTCTGTAATAAAGCTGTTTTTTTATTTACATACTAGTTTTATATTCATATCTGTGATATTCTAATTGGTTTTACTGTCATTCGCCGACAGGTTTTTTAATAATATTTATTTTCATCTATTTTAAAATTATTACTTGTTTTTAGTCACGATATGGCTGAAATATTGCCGATGTGACTTTTAATCTTACCTCACTCACTCACTCACTGGGTCCCGATCCAGAAAGCTTTCGTAATGTTACGACCTGTCGTAACTCTATAGTTTATCGTAGCGCTGCGAACGTTTTGTGGATCAGGCCCAAGGCCAATTACAAACACCAAATGAGTAATTCTGTCTCGCAAAAAGGGTCTCACCCACAAAACACATCTTGATTACCATACTGACACCATATGTCAGGGTAGCTTGTCCTCGCTTAGCGGTAACGGTGTCATTGGCACAGTTTCACGTGGATGCTCAAACAACTGCCGAATGTTGTTATGTGTATTCATTTCGAATACCTAGAGTCCCATGCGGCCAGGATATTACATGCACCACAGGCATATTGTATGTTTTTCTTCTTTTTTTCATCTTAAATATCTATACAAACATCTGTGGTAGAAGTGTTCACTTTCATGGAGGAAACGTAAAAAACAGTTTCAATTTGCAGAGTTATCTTTTGTGTAGATGTTGATTTGTTGTACGGCTCTCCGCGCTGTCATCGACGGTCTTCGGAGAGCAAGCAATACGATCACTTTGATCTATAAAGTTTGTATTGCCATACACCTTGCTGCCGCAGTTGTAGGAGACTATCTACTAGGCCAGTCGGGTAACGTGATATGTAAACTCGCCTATGGCTTGGGTGTGGCGTTACAAAGGACGAATAACAAATAACATCATATAGTCTGTTTGCAGTGAAAACGTACCGATGAAGAAGAAATTGTACTTTACTATCAAACTTTAAATCGAGCTAAATCGAGCTGTAACTTTTTACGGTATTAGAAGATTTAACATATTACATTCGCAAATACGTCATAGAGCTAGTAGATTAAGTAACGATCTGTACAGAGTAGGGCTAGTCACTGATCCATCCTGTGCATGTGGCAATCCCTGCGAAAATGGTCATCACTATTTCTTAGGATGTTCTGTATACAATCAACATAGAAAGATCATACTTAAAGCTATTCAAGATGTATGTGCTATTGATTCTGTGATTACACTATCTGTTCTTTTAAACGACATTGCAGATCTGACAAATCATAAAAATTATAAATTATATTTATAAATGTACATCAGTATATAAGCAAATCTGAATCATTCCAGTTGTCTTATTTCTATGCACATTTTGTATTATAACATTTCCCCTAAATCATTGTCTTAGAGAATGTTAACATTTCATATTGTTCTTGTACGCCGGATAACTGTATGGTTTGATCAAGTAATGTTCCACAACACAGATAATGAGCACTGGTGGACAGGTGGAGTAGGTAAACACACGCTGATATACCGCAGCAGGCTACCATTATCACAATCACCAGTCTCACCTTGACCTACATCACAACTACACCTCTTAATCTACATTTGTACGTACAGACCAGGAAGTTGCAGAGCTGTCAATCAACTGATATCTGACACGCCGTATCTGCTAAAAAATACGTTTATATAGGTATTCAACAGGCTAATCTTACGCATACCGGCTCTGATTTTACAGTGTCACTTTACAGTGTCAAAGATCGTATTTAGGCATCGTATTATTGATCGTATTATACCAAAGACCGGTCCGATAATTCATATAAGTTCTGGAGCCAAATAGAAGTTCATTGTAAATACTAAGGTGAATCATTCGAGATAAATATCAAACGCAAATTGATTTTAATAGTCATCCCATTAAATACATGCTCAATACAATAAAGTAAAAAGAAAAAAAACATGATTAAAATGGCCACAACACATTCACTCATCTGACATTAATCACTGCATTGTCAGGTCCAGAGTTGATTTTTTTACAATCCACCGTTATCTAGCTGCAATATTATAAATTGTTCACTTGTCACGAGGGGGGCATGGGTTGATCTACCCTCGATGTTTGTAGAGGGGACATCAACCAATGGGCCCCGAGGGACCAGTGAACAACGTATTTATCTTACCGAACACCTTAATGTTAATTTTGAAATTGTTTGAAGCACGGGTACAAATCTTTTTTGTAGCCATCGCTAGATTTTGCTGACAAGAAAAACAGATTTAGAGTTATCTCCCTTCCTTCGATTTGCATTCGCAAAACATCGGTAATTTCCGTACATCATACGTGATTCAATGTTATTTGAGATAAAGAATTACTACCACGAAGTACAGAATGAGTTGCCATTGACAGCGGGATACATTGAAATGTTACTTGCTTGTAAGCGGGGTACATTGAAAATAATAGAAGAGCGCTCATTTATGTGTGAGGTAAGATAATGCTGAATGTGACTTCAAACAAACATCACATGTCGTGCAGATCAAAATGTTATAACAAAAACTTGTGAGTAAAATATCTTGCTTTATATCTACTCCGAAACTGTTACATTTGATGAATGAAGTCAAGTGTCCAAGTCTTTAAAACTCATCTTCTAGAAAGATCGTATTCGCGATATATTTCTTCATAAAGGTTATATTTTACCTGATATACCACTGTAATTGTCGGCTGAGGTAGTATCCCTTTTTACGAATTTATACAATTTGGCCAAACACCATTATTCTAGATAACATGATCGATCAAAACATAAAAGGGACAACAGAATAAATGGCTCTAAAATATTTTTAAAATACTCGATTCTTCGCTCCTGCGCATATCAAATCTCAACCCATCGAGTGAAAGTTTGATCGAATAGCCTGGTTCATCCACGATATAAAAAAGTGCCATTCCCACCACCTATCCTTGCAGCAGGTTCTCACACAAACCACGAACACTAAGGGCACGAGGCAAAAGAAGATCCACATGGGCACAGAGAAGCCGAGGGCGTGGGTAAATAGAGGCATATCCTTGCACGGAGACGAGGCGAGCCACAGCGAACCTAATCGAATATAAATAGTTTCGCATTTTCCCCTGTCGTCGTGTGTTTCGTATAAGCGAGAATGGTGTAGTTTCACGAAAACTTTCCATTGCAGATATCCAGTAAGTAACTGAAATATTACCCTAATAGCCCGTTCGTTGAGTAATTTGATATTTTAAATCTATAGTACCTTCTGCATAACATGTTTCATAATATACTAGAAGGCAATTTTTTGTGATTGACTTGAAGTTAGATATGTGAATTAACAACTGATACTTTTATGATGAGACTTTTTTTAAATATTGCAAGAAAATCATTCCACAATAGGATTGCAATAGGGACATTTTAAACTTTTCTGGCCGACACATGCTAATGAGGTCACAGTGAGAGAACCTGTCCCTGAAGGGGCATGTAGATGATACATGCTTTCTTCGTGACAAAAAATACCTAAGTGGTAGTATAGGAGCTGAGCAGGCACAGGTATGCAGATTGTAATACAATATATATATACAACAAAGTACTTTTATAAATTGTTGTTTGTTTTAAGTGATAGAGACATTACTGTGTACCAGTAATGACTGCAGGGCTAAATGCTTAGGGGTTAGTGATGGCTCTCAATTTCCATACTTTATATAAATACAAACATATAGTGATGATATGCTATGCAGGATAGAGACATTACTGTGTACCAGTAATAACTGCAGGGCTAAGTGCTTTTGGGTTAGTAGCGTTGGCTCTCAATTTCCATACTTTATATATATACAAAGATATACCATGCAAGGTAGAAACATTGCGTGATGTCCAGTAAATTCACCATATCTTGAGGTACATAGTGAGATTTAGCATAAGGTATAAACGGGTGTATATATTTCTTTCTAAGTGTATCATAGGTTTCGCAGACAAACAGTATGTGTAGCTCGTCTTCAATAAAATATATATTCTTGAATTTACAAAATAAGTAAACCCTATCCTTAAATTCTGTCTTTCTATAACATGACCGTAATTTTGGCATCAAAATCTAGCCATAGAACATCTCAAGTAGTAAGGAATATCACTTGACAAATATGATTCTACATTTAACAATGATTTGAACTGTTTATAGTAGTTACAATTGGAGGATGTGTTTAAGCTTGAAATCCATGACTGTTGCAAATTATCTGATAGTCTTTGTCCGAATAGAGAGATAAAAGATTTTATGCAGCCAACCTGCTGGGAAACCCAGACAAAACCAAACCCAAAACTAAATAATATATCACTAAATAATATATGTGTGTGATCCAAGTAGTACGGCCTACATTATCAAGGGACATAAGCATCTGATAACACTGGTTTTGTAACCTGCTAGGAGGTAAAGTAATGAGTCGACACCAGTATTTAACTGCTCTGGTCAGGTATAGCAGATGTAGAGGCAAACGCCCACATTCCCCGAATACCATAGTATCTGATGTAGATATACCAACTCTAAGAATCCACTTACAGAATTTCAACTGTGCTCTTTCTACTTCTTTACTATAGTATATACCCCATAATTCTGAGCCATAACATACAATTGGCACAGCCATACTATCAAGTATCTTTAGTAAATCTTTACATGGCATACCTCCAACCCTTTTAGAATACCCGTAAATTGACATCATACCTTTGTTTGCCTGTGGACGAAGACTAAATTGCGCCTATCTCCAAGACAATTCTGGAGTGAGTAGAAGTCCTAAATATCTATATGAGGAAACAACATCTATTTGTTTTCCTTGAAAATACCATTTTTCATATGATCGAATTTTTGTTTTATCCAAATTTATCTTCGTTCTAGTTAGATCACTGAAATTTTCCAAAGCATAGATCTTGCGCTGCAATTCTAAGCAAGAGCTGGCTACTGAAGACACATCATCAGCAAATTACACCAGTATATTAAATTTGTTGATTATTTGATATTCCGTAGTTAATGTACACTGTAGAGTATATGTTACAAAAGGATACGAAGTGATATTCGTCTTCTATATATGACAGTTTACAGATGTTTATTGCAAGCTTCTTCAATAAACCACTCGGCATTTAATCGTTATGTATGTAAACTAGATCTACACGACCAAGAGCAAGCAAATGTTTCATGTGTACTTCAACACCAGAAAAAAAGGGGACCCAAACGGTTTCATGTCGTGTAGTAATGCAGAATGTCGTTCTGTTTATACAGAAACTTTTAGCATTCCTGAAAGTTTATTCGAAAATACCGTTTCTGTTTGAACTATGTGTTATTGCCAAACAAATCCCAAGCACAGTGTTTATGCACACCATTAGAGAACCACTTTTCTTATTTCGACAGTCATCCACTATTTTTCTAATACCATTTTTCGATATTTACAAAAATTCTCAAATATTCTCAAAAGAAGGACATTTGAAGGATATAAAAAGTACATTCTTTATTCCAAACTTTTTATCAGAAATAAACATAAGGGGCAATAAAACAAGTCATCACTGTAACACAACACAACACAAGCTTTGCTCTAGAATCTATCACACTGGACAGAAAATGCTGTAGATGATGCTGTAAGTAATTTGAAACATTTCCAAAAGTAGCGTAACTTTTACGAATGCATGCTTGATAGTATGAAAAAGTTGATAAATATTCTGTGTTTCTTCTTCTTTTTATTCTTGAGTACAACGTTTCAGGGCTTGTTCTGGTCCCATCATCAGGTAAAACTGAACAGTAACTGTTGGGACCCAAACGTTGTACTCAAGAATAAAAAGAAGATGAAACCCAGAAAATTCTCTATGTTCATCAAATAACATCTTCTAAACATGCCAATCAAACATCTACTTGGTGTACCTCTGTAATTGTTGGCTAACGTAGTACCCTTTTCTCAGGAATATGTACAATTAAGCCAATGCACCACGACTTTGGACAACTTGATCGTTGAGAAACGTAAGTAACAACAAAATATATGAAACTGAAATGTCTTTAGATCAGCCCGACGACTATAGGGCAGTTAGAGTGACCTAGTTCATCCATGATGGAACCACTGTCCAACTCGTCGTCCTCGTACCAGGCTTTCACGTGACCGACAAAACACCAGGGGAACGAGGCAAAAGAAGAACCACATGGGCACAGAGAAGCCGAGGGCGTGGGTGTACAGAAGCGTATCCTTGCACGGAGAGTCGGCCAGCTACACGTAACCTAAACAGATATAGATTTGCAATACACTCATTTGCTATTCTAAATCTATCATATATTTTGCCCTACACACACGCACGCACACTCGCATACATACATACATCATTTGCAGTGCGCTTTACTTTGAATTCACTCATTTAATGACAGCTGTGCCTTTAATTTGCTATTTGTCGAGTACATTTGCTATGCTGTATAATAAGCAGGAGTTGAAACATCATTTTCAAGGAGGCTCAAGTCTATAGCAATGCCACATCGAACCTACAGCTAATATAAACAAACAGGCATATACACCATGCATTACGATGGTGAGAATACCACGAAGTACTACAAGTGTCGTGAGAAGCTCACCTACGATTCCCCATCCGATGTTAAACAATCCAATGATGACACAGATAGCGCCTATGAAGTTTCCTGAAAAACACTTGCAGCAGTACCAGCAGGATGCCAGGATGGGGATGACGACAGAGGTGGCTCCCTGGACTATCATGTAGATGGCGATTCGGGTGTGGCCTGGGCACAAGTCGTAGTCACGGATGCCTTGAGAAACGAGAACATCAAATATCTACGTGGGGTTCACTGGAAGGCTTGGCGAATATATTCCTCCTCTATCAACACATTAATCTGACACTCAATGGGAAACTTATGTTCCTTTCAGGTAAGTGTCTCTCGGATTTAACATTGTCAGTAATAAAGTTAATCATTATATACATTGTCAAAGATTAAAGCAAAGCCTAACAAAGACATAGTACTTATAGCGGAGCAGCTTTAGAACACAGCACCACCACAACTTCTCGTAGGAATGGTGTTTGCCTTTGTTCACACAACAAGTATGGGTCTGCAGGCTAAGCATGTGAATGCTATTGTGACGTGTTTGAAAAGTTTGTGGTGCTTAATTCTAAAGGTATACTCTGGCCTCATGTCTGTATCATGTCTATACCCTGCCCGTATCACGTCTACATTACATGTATACTTGGGTATGACCATACTATTATACGAGGCGTCATGGTATCATTGAAGAGATATGTATTTATAGCAACAACACCCATTTAGGTACCGCCTCCGTGGCGTAGTGGTTAGAGCGTCCGCCCGGAGAGTGGAAGGTCGCGGGTTCGATCCCCGACCGCGTCATACCAAAAGACGTTAAAATATGGCACTTGTTGGTCCCTGCCTGGCGCTCGGCATTAATCGGTATAACAAGGATTGGTCGGCTCGGAGTCAGTATAATGTGTCGGGGTATTCATGCTTCACTGCGGCATGGTATCTCAGTGGGCTAGCACTATAAAACCAGCTTAAGTCTGGGCTAGTACAAGCAGCCGCACATACACATACACACGCATGCACGTCGTCATATGAGCGAAATATTCTCAATCACGACGTTAAACCCAATTTCCCCTCACCTCGCCACACCCATTTCGTCAACACGGAATGATTCGATGTTGTTGATCTTACCAAAGACTATCATGGCCACAGAAAGCGTACCAAAGATAATGGAAATGATGCCGACACACGCCTTCGCTGAAAGGAAAAGGAAACATATACATTGGCTTGAATTACAAGTTAAATAGATATCTGTCTTTTTGTTTCAATTGATAGTATCCTTTCCTTCACACAAAAAACATATGTGTACTTAACATAACGCTCGGTGCTGATACCGTTTGTCGTCCCTGTATCAGGGGCCTTAGGGCACTGTGTACCGTGATTAACGGAAGCTTTTATCACATCCGACGTTTTGATTCACTGCTAATTGGTTACTGGTTACTTACTGGAAGCGCGGGTTTTATCATCCTGGTGAGGTATGGTGACAGAATGGTGAGTCGGTGGTGTAGACTGCTCCACTGTCAACAATACATGCACATTGTTCGTTGACATGAACTTATCAAAGCGGTAAGAATGTGAAGTCATAGTCATTCATGTTTGAGGTCATAACGGTTACTCTACGCTCAAGTATTGTGTAATCTTGCAACACAATACTCACCATGACGCTAGTCAACAAAACAACATGATACTCACCATGTCTCTAGCCAACAAGACAACATAGTACTCACGAGGTCTCTAGCGAACAAGATAAAATGATACACTCCATGTCCCTAGCCAACAAGACAACATAGTACTCACCAGGTCTCTAGCGAACAAGATAAAATGATACACACCATATCCCTAGCCAATAAGACAACATTATAAGTTGTACGCTTCTCTAGAGGGTAATACGGTCTGATGTGCGCCTGTATGTGGCTATGTTACCCGAGCCGGTAGGCGAGGGATAACACTGCTACAAAAAAGAGGCTTACATCAGACCGTATTACCCGAGGGAGAAGCATACAAAGTACTTAATTTACCGCCATGTTGAATGTACAAACTATCATTTTATCTTATTGGAAGATCGCTACCGACTGAATGACATGTAAACAAAATGGCGTTTGCCTCTCGACTGGATTGTTAAAATCAGTGAAACATTTTCTGACAAGCTTAAAACTGCTATAAAAATGGTTAATTTTGTTTAAGTTGAGAGTGCAAACGATTCAATGTATAAGATAGTTTAAATAAATCAGTGAAAGTCAGTGAAATAAATGTCTACATTGTGAACTCAAAAACAGCTAAACGAACGGTTTTCGAACTCCGGGCACTGCATGCGTCATATTATGACGTCGATGTTAGATGTGTTAGCGATGCAGCTTCTCGGCGGATAGTTTGGCGGTTACCGCGGCAGCGGATAATATTTTTCCAGTTATCACCCTCCTTTGAGGGGTGACACGGAAACTTGTTGAAGCGTCACTGATCAATGAAATTAAAGTATTTTACATTAATTCAAGATAAGATACTCACCATGTCCCCAGCCAACAAGACAACATGATACTCACCATGTCCAAAGCTTTCAAGACATCACACTATTCACCATGTCCCTAGCCAACAGGACAACATAATACTCACCTTGTCCAAAGCTTACAAGACATCACAATATTCACCATGTCCCTAGCCAACAAGACAACATAATACTCACCATGGTGCCGTTGTACAAAACAACCTTAGCGCTAAGGTTACCTTAATTCTGTGTTAAGGTATGGGAGTTACTGTCACCTTAGCGCTAATATTGCTTTGTACAACAGCACTCATGTCCCAAACCAACAAGACAACATAATACTCACCATGTCCCAAACCAACAAGACATCATAATACTCACCATGTCCCTAGACAACATAACATGATTCTCACCATGCCTATAGCTAGCACGACAACATGATGCTCAAAGTGTTCCGGGTTATCATAACAGCACCACGTGTATAATGTCCCTCGACAACAAGACATTTCAGCAACTTACTCTTCTGCAGGACATGGCTTAATGGGCACTCACCACTCCCTGTGATTGCAGATATTCCAGAGACTTGACCGACCACCTGCCGAGTACGCGCCGCTAAAATAAGTTGAATAACAAGTTACATATCGAAGTTTGCATTGTTCAAGAATACCAGACTTGAATAACGAACGAGCGTTCACATGTGTCTATGTCTGTGTCTATGTATGTGTATGTGTCTATGTATGTGTATTTTTTCATGTCTGTCTCTATGTCTGTGTCTATGTATGTGTATGTGTCTATGTATGTGTCTATGACTGTCTGTGTATGTGTCTATGTCTGTGTCTATGTCTGTGTCTATGTATGTGTCTATGTATGTGTCTATGTCTATGTCTGTGTATGTGTCTATGTATGTGTATGTGTCTATGTATGTGTCTATGTCTATGTTGTGTCTATGTATGCGTATGTGTCTGTGTCTGTCTGTGTCTATGTATGTGTATGTGTCTATGTCTGTGTCTGTGTCTGTGTCTATGTATGTGTATGTGTCTATGTCTGTGTATGTGTCCATGTAAGTGTCTATGTATGTGTATGTGTCTATGTCTGTGTGTGTGTCTATGTATGTATGTGTATGTGTCTATGTATGTGTATGTGTCTGTGTATGTGTCTGTCTGTGTCTATATATGTGTCTATGTATGTGTCTGTGTCTATGTCTGTGTGTCTATGTATGTGTGTGTCTGTGTCTATGTGTCTGTGTCTATGTATATGTCTGTGTATGTGTCTGTGTATGTGTCTGTGTCTATGTGTCTGTCTGTGTATGTGTGTATGTATGTCTGTGTCTGTGTCTGTGTCTGTGTATGTATGTGTCTATGTATGTGTATGTGTCTATGTATGTGTCTGAGTCTGTCTGTGACTATGTATGTGTCTGTATATGTGTCTGTGTATGTGTCTATGTCTGTGTATGTGTCTATGTATGTGTCTATGCCTGTGTTTGTGTCTATGTATGTGTATGTGTCTGTGTCTGTCTGTGTCTATGTCTGTGTCTATGTATGTGTCTATGTCTGTGTCTATGTATGTGTCTATGTCTGTGTATGTGTCTATGTATGTGTCTGTGTCTGTCTGTGCCTATGTAGGTGTCTATGTATGTGTCTATGTCTATGACTGTGTCTGTGTATGTGTCTATGTATGTGTATGTGTCTATGTCTGTGTCTGTGTATGTGTCTATGTGTGTCTATGTATGTCTATGTATGTGTCTGTGTCTATGTATGTGTCTATGTATGTGTATGTGTCTGTATCTATGTATGTGTATGTGTCTATGTCTGTGTCTTTGTGTGTGTCTGTGTATGTGTCTATGTCTGTGTCTATGTATTTGTCTATGTATGTGTATGTGTCTGTGTCTATGTCTGTGTCTATGTATGTGTCTATGTCTGTATGTGTGTATGTGTGTGTCTATGTATGTGTCTATGTATGTGTCTATGTGTATGTGTCTATGTCTGTGTCTATGTCTGTGTCTGTGTCTGTGTATGTATGTGTATGTGTATGTGTATGTGTCTGTGTCTATGTCTATGACTGTGTCTGTGTCTATGTATGTGTATGTGTATGTGTATGTGTCTATGTCTATGACTCTGTCTGTGTCTGTGTATGTGACTGTCACAATGTTGATTTCTCCAGAGAACACAGAAATCATTTATTTCACCTCAGACCAAAATATAATCTACTACTTTGTAGGTATACCATCCTCGATAATCTCCAGGATATACGTTACGATCACTCTCCACTATACCCTGGATGCATCCACGGCTTGGGGCGATGATTTTATTACCTCCCTTGGCTGGCTTTTTATCCAGTCAGGTGCCTACGCTGGGAAGTTGAGCGTACCAATCACTACTCACTATCGCGTCTTAAATTATCTAACCGTTTAAACTTGGCAACACAATTGATGCAGAGGTACTCTGAAAAAGGTAGAAGGAGTTCTTTCATATATTCTTTTTACAGTTTCAGATCTGTGAATTTGTCCTTATTATTTCCCCAAAAATCTGAGTGGCACTGCGAACAAACCTTTGCGACTGCGACCGCTACCTGTGTTGACAATGGAAAGCTCGGTTGTAACGGCGGCTTAGCTGATTGGCTACTGTGAGAATGCGGAGCAGCCAAGGGAGGTAATAAAATTATCGCCCCAAGCCGTGGATGCATCCAGGGTTTAGTGGAGAGTGATCGTAACGTATACCCTGGAGATTATCGAGGATGTAGGTATACAAGCTTTTGTAAATGTGGAGAAGCAGTTTGCAATAGCTGTAAAAATGGTACTTACGAATCACTTTCAAAGCCACATTTCCTTCTTCATCTGTAAAATAAAAAACACAGAATCTTTAGTTTCTGTAATGTGACAGCAGCGTTCTTATAAGTACCAAATGTTACTGTATAATAGGAACTATACTCAAAGACAAAGGTTATTGGGACACATAAACCACAGAGCCCGTGTAAAACGTTTACTGCCGCGAATGAAATACTATTACACGGAAAAACAAATGATTAAATGCATGATATATAAATGTGTGCTATATAGATCAACAGTCTCTAAGAACAGCGAACGTGACATGTGCAAATGAGCCACAACACAAAAGGGGGTTATAAGAAGTTTACACGGTAAGTATCGAGTGTGTCCACCTTGTGTATTCATGCAAGCCTGGAGCCTCATTAAGGTCACTACACCTCGATGGGAGGATCATTTATCGCAGGCACTATGGCGGGATATGGGATTTATCAGGGAATATAGACATGATTGAATATTCTCTGAGTTAAGTTGAAGTTGTGTTATCTAAATCTAAATCACAGTGCTGACAATATACATGAAATAATAGCAGCTTATTATCATGACCATCAGCACAGCCAGGTACAGGTCAGCTGCGAGTAATTAACCTTAATTAACCGAGTATAGTCACAGGCCGTTTAACATTGTGGACGAGGTGCTGAATACTGCAGGCTGACCATACATGTATCGTAATTCGAGACTGGTTTGTCTGACAGTCAGTAGTATATACATTGCATTCTTGTTGTAATGGGGACATGGCCCTCGGACAGCGTCTAGGCAGATGGGATGACGATTGCCTCTGGGATGCTGCCTGGCCGTTGCTGCACTGTGATGTAATTGCATACTGAGACGCCGAATAAAATGTTGTGGACCCACTGAGGGACTTCTGTGTTTGAAGGGACAAATATTCCAGACCATAAACAACCCGGGATATATTCCATATTCGAGGTGGAGGTGGAGGTCCTGCAGAGTTTTTTGGAAGATTCGAATGCCGTCGTAAACGTCATTCCATTTCACCCCAGACGTACACATTGGGTGCCAAATCACTGTATCCTTTGAGCTAGGGTGACACATTATCATTGCTATGATTAAGATACTACTGTACAACTGGAGCAGCGTGTGGCCTGATATCGGTTGAAACTTCACTTCCATTTGCAAAATCTCGTCAAGTTCCCCTCAATTCCAATCATTGGCGTCCTTGGTGCAGCTGTTATCCCTAAGATCGTCACCACCTCCAAAAAGATTAGAGCTAGACCCATGGCCTGATGTAACGTTCATTTGTGTGCCTGTAGACACGTGTCCTGCTATCTGCTCGATGAAGAAGAAAACGTTAAGAGAACTCTTCTCCATTCACGTACTCCATATCTGATGTCTGATCCTGGAGAACCCGTGAAGGTCCGGGTTAGAATGAACCTTCAGTAACCCATGCTTGTCGTAAGAGGCGACTAACGGGATTGGGTGGTCAGGCTCGCTGACTTGGTTGACACATGTCATCGGTTCCCAATTGCGCAGATCGATGCTCATGCTGTTCACTGGATTGTCTGGTCCAGACTCGATTATTTACAGACCGCCGCCATATAGCTGGAACATTGCTGAGTGCGGCGTAAAACTAAACTCACTCACTCACTGATCCTGGAGACGCCTGCATGTTCAAAAGTCAGAATTAGCCGACGGGCGTCTTGCATGGTTGCCATAGACGCGTCAACGTCGTCGAACTGTTGTCACAGCTACACCTCTGTTGCCGCAAGGGATGCTGACTCGAACCTGTATCGGAGTTGCGTGGTACGAATCCATCTGTCATTACGTGGGGTTGGTACTGCTGGGCGGCAGCAACGGGGAAAACGTCGCCATAAGTGCGAAATGGTGTTTCTGTGGACGTTTGATCAACCAGAATGCCTATAGCTTTTCACCTGTCATTTCCCCCCGAGGCCTGACATTTCTCTTTGTAATGTAGTGTCGTTTCAAAATGGTCTTAATTTCAGATCTCGGTATTACGGTGTTGCTACAACCTGATGCTGATTTTACATCTCAGAATTGCAGTGTCACTACAACGTTATGCTGATTTTACACCTCAGCAATGCAGTGTCGCTACAACCTGGTCCTGATGGTACATCTGAGTAATACAATAAGGTCGCCCCTTGATGACGTTCATAAATCCCCGTTATAAAAAACAACTCTTACCACGTGCCAGTGCCGTCATGGTAACCTCTCTGTTGACGCTCACCTCCCCCTCTGCCGAGACAGCGACCCCACTTCGACCTCCTGGAGGCAATACAATAACATACTTCATTCAGTGATGTGCATAACTGTATAAGTCATTAATGACAGCGATAGTTGTTGCATATAGATTTAACACATGGATTGCCGAATTAGAAAGAAGGAATGTGAAGAACGAGATATACAAATACAGGTGAAATGCATTGGAAATAAAAGCATTTGGAATCTCAGGAAAAGAACAATATTATCTACCCCCAACAATATCGCATTAACCATTATTTATCGCCTCATTTATCTTAGAGGAGTTACCGGCATATGCCATTGTTTAAAATGCTTTAGTTATTTCCGAGTTTGAATCCACTGCCATTCTTTACCAATCGTCAAAATCTACCGTTAAATCAATGGAGAGCGTGAGGGACAATGGTTACACAGGTTTGCTACAGCTAGTTCTACGACATCTGAAATTCTACGACGATCCCGGAGAAGCTTTGACCAAACCTTCTGGAACAGTCTTCAAGGGGTTGTTATTCACCCAAGGAGAACGAAGTTTGGAGTCTCCCTTTCACGAGATGGAGTACCATATATTTTTAGTTTAGTGATGAATAGCAGAAGTCCTTGATTTTCACGTAGAAATGATACTCGTAAAGGGAGGGATGTATTTTATGGATGACACTCCTGGGATAGACATCAAACTACACATGAAGTTCATGAACTGTCAAAAAACATTCTTAAGTTCTTAAGTGTCCGAAAACTCATAACACGAATATATATATGAACCAAATTACCTATGCGTTTCTTTTTTTGAGAAGTATATTTACCTCGTCTATATATCATTGAAAAAGAAATCTGTACCATCGTGTACCAACAGAAAGGCGAAAGCACCAGTCACATCAAACAAAATATTAAAGGAATCCTTTTACCAAAAATAACGTCAACAATCAGTATCTCGAAAAAATAACTTAAAGAAAAAAAGTACAAACCAATCTTTTCATCTAATGGAAAGTCAGTTAGTGTTATACATACTGGTGGCAACAACACCCTCCATTTTATCCTCTTCTGAAAGTGTTCTTCTCTGATTGTTCCAGCGGAGTCAGGTGGACCAGGAACGTCGACAAAGCCACAGAGAAGGAAGATATTTGTTTTTCAAGGACAAGACTAAACTCTTTCCTCAACCACATGGGTTTTCACATTTGTTGTCACTACTATATTTATGCATTTGATCGACACGTGGATCCTGTGAACTTTTGACCAGTTACACAGGTATGCGAGGAAGTGCTTTTGAACTGTAGCCAATATTCTTTATCTTAGATTACGTGGCCTTTAAAGTGTGATCGACAGTAAACAGCCAATACGTAATGCTGTCAACATTGCTGGCTTTGGCAAAAGCATACATTAAATCAGTGAATTTTATTTTTATCCATGTGGGCATCTAGTATTTACTTAGTTTCTGCATTCCATTGAAACACCATTTAGAAAGCACCACAAGTACTCACTACTCCTTTTAATCCAGGTTGGACCGGGGGTGCTCATTTCAGGTTATGACTGACCTGGCATGAATCATCCTGTGTCTTCCTGACCTAATGCTGTATAAAGCTGTTTGATTCTAGTGACTGGTTTACCTGGTCCAGACTTGATTCTGCCTGTCATTTTTATACCTGGGATGTTGCTTACTCATTCACCCAAAACTGTAAGCAGTTATCTGTGATGTAGCTGATACAGGCATTTTGACATTCAGTGTCAAATATGTTTTCTGTGAAAGGCACAATGTGGATACGAAGTGAGGTACAACTGTACATGGATAGTGTATGTGGTAACTGGAGTCATTTACAATCACCGACTGAACATATCATCTTAGCATGTAGTCAACAGTTAAATAAACGTAATCAGTGTATTTATAAACACGTCTCATACGTACATTACCCAGTTCCTACAGCCTAGATGGTCCATTTCAGTTAAACATAATGTAAAGGTTCAAATCCTATCAAACAGTAAATCATCTTTCAGCTATTTGTCACTTGGCGACAGGGTGAGAGAACAAATGTTCCCTATAGTTGTAAAATTGTCTTTGCCATACGTGAAGGCGAGGAATCGTCTTAGCATCACCAAATGTTCAAAATTAGTTAATTCGGTTAGCATTCTCCTGTTTATCAATCTACCCCATGTCCTTTGGGATTGTGGCCTCTGACCAAATAAGTCTACCCCATTAAGACAAATAATCTGAGCAAATGCATCGAGGACAATAGCCGAGTCTGAACCAAGTTTCAGGTTATAGTATCAAAGACACTATTACATTCTTTAGGCTGCAATACAACAATATTTCTTAAGGATACAGGGAGCCAAATTAGGTGAAAACACTAACAAATGGAGGGTTGCAGCCGAACCCCCATTGTCTATACTACTATTTGATTGTCTTTGGCTCTGATCTTTACATTCCACTGAGATATACTGAGGGCCTACTGATCAGTCGATTCTCGATTTACACACAGAGGTATCCACAAGTAACGTCTTTGATGGAAATTACTCCCGCACCACTATAGAAGCCAATATTTGATTTGTTGAGTCATAGTATGATGATATCAAAGAACATTTGCTTTTCTCTAGGGTTCCAGCTGATGGTAAAAAGTTATTCGAATATCATATCAATTATTCATGTATAAAGATTGAGCGAGAAATATAAAGCCATATGCTATGGATGACAACATCTTCAATCTATTATGATGTGACCTTTTGGTATAGATTCTTATAGCATTGTCTTGCTTGACATCGGTAAAAAGAACTCTATCACAATACGTAGATACATAAGCCGATACAAGCAAGGAGTCATAGATATGTCGGTCCTCGAACAAAAAGACACCAAATCCAGATTGCAAATGCAATGGAGAGGGTAATTGAAACAAGCCCTTTTACCACCATGAAGACTCTGCCTGGTGTCACCCGGACAGGAGTTAATGAGCATGGCCCCTGAGTCAAAATAGTGTAAGATTAGAGGATACATGGAATGAATGCGTTGTGGCCATTTTTATCATGGTCTTTTTTCACTTTATTGCATTGAGTATGTATTTAATGGGATGACTGTGATGAGCAATTTGAGTTTGATATTTATCTCGAAAAGTGGACCTTAGCATTTTAAACAAATTTGAATTATAGCACCAGAGCTTAAATGCTCATGCCATGAAGTCAGTCACTGCATTGTCTGTTATTTACAGACCACAGACATTTAGCTGTAATATTGCTGAGTGCAGTGTTAAACATCAACCAAACAACAAGTAACTTACAGATCGAGATGTACACTGCAATGAGTAATATAGTTTGATATATATTCACTCACAAATGTTTTGAGACTGTCACAGCTTATTACATCAACATATTTAATTTGTTGATTATTTGATATTGCATAATTAGTGGACACTGTAGAGTATATGTTACGAAAGAATACGAAGTGATATTCATCTTCTACATATGGCAGTTTACAGATATTCATATCTAGCTTCTTCAATATACCACTCGGCTTTTAATAAATACAATACAAACAAATATTCGGTATAAAGGCCATAGGCCTAAGTACAAAACTCAACGAAATAATATTGATAGTCAGGTAGATCTTTCAAATCCTTCTTAACCTTAAAGCTTCTTTTACAAATTTTGTTAAGTTAATTAGGATATTCACTTTATCACAACTTAAAGGTACTATTTCACACATTTGATATTTGGCCTATGTTATACATACTGGGTCATGTGCACTCACATTAGCTTCCTACTAATGCAATAAAAGACTTATTATCACTTACGACTTGCCTGAAATCGATAATTGAAACTTCGAGGGGAATGGCTTCCAAACAGAGAACACTTGCCATATATGGAATGTAAACGATTGCAACGTTGCATTAATTCATTCAAACTTTTTTATTTAATATTGTAATTTAAATGCGTAATTATGGGGGAAATAAATTATATGGTAGCTTCCCCGAGGGCTGATAGTTAGTATTATTGAGAGAAATGCATTATTTATATTTAGAGAAGTGTGATGCAATATAGTGCCTGTAATATTACATTAAATTTATGAATAGAAGGATGTTTCCAGAAATATTCAGGAATATACTCATGTTTTAAAATGGAATTAGCTTTACATATTAACAGGAAAAGGTAATCATCTTCTATACATCCAGTCATACATTAATGAAAAAATCTTTCATTGCGAACAATACCGCAGCGTCTACCTACATTTATCGTTAAAGGCAATTCCCCAGGTCTTAACGAAAATAGAAGCATTCTATATCCACGATGCTTGAAGGTGGATAAATGATATTCTACTGTAAGTAGAGATGTATGTTCTTGATAGAAACTTAACTTATTTGATTCACAAACTTTAGAAAAACAATCTTGCTGATGACATATTTAATCCCTTGCACAAACGTACTAAGAAATAAAGAACTATTACCAACTTCCTGAGAGATCCAAACAAATCCAAAACCTTAGGAGAAACGTAACATTTTAACATTTAAGCGCATGTAATACAATTACAGGCAACTAAATATTTACGAAGACAGCTTTGCTGAGGATATCTATGATTAGGTATTGATAGAAACTTTAACCAACACTGAATACACCTTTTATGACAATCAACAAATAAACCATATCTGCCACATTCACCAAGTGGAGCAACATTAGAAACATACAGTACAAACAGAAATTATTGAGAATTTATAGGATTGTAATTTTGTTTTGTTTTTCACTCATTACTCACGTATTAATGTGAATATTAGCAGAACATAACTCCAGATTCAAAGACAGGTGAACAGTTAGTATTTTGTCAAGTCACCATGGGCAGCAATGCAGGCTTCAATGCGGCGGGGCATACTACTGATCAAAGAAGTTAGAAAGTCGTGGTCCATGCTGTCCCAATATCAGACCACCTCTTCTTTCATTTCAGCAATATTTGTCAGATTTTTCTTATTGACACTTTCCTTCATAAGTCCCCAAACATTTTCTATTGGATTTAGGTCAGGGCTATAGCTTGGCCAATCTAATAATGTCATATTTTGGGTCCGAAACCAGGCCTGTGAATGCTTTGAACGATGTTTTGGGTCGTTGTCCTGCTGGAAAATTCAAAAATGTCCATAGAACACGTGAGCAGATGGAAGTAAATGTCCCTCGAGAATATCTGTGTACCGCTCACTGTTCATTTTCCCTTCAAATACACAGAGGGGGCGTTGCCCCTAACACAGATATGCCACCCCACACGTTAAATTTCGGACTGTACTTGACTGAATTTGGGCGCTGATACAAAGGTTTTTCAGTTTGTTTGGTCCAGAATTTCAGTGTATTAGGAAACAGCCACACACAACTTTCATCTGAGAAAATCACATTGTCCCAGTTAAAAGTTCTATGCTGTAAGCACCAATTCAACCTTCGCTCCTTTTGTTCAGGTTTCATGATGGGTGATGGAATTCCTCGACTTTTCTGCCAACCCATTGCATGCAGCTCAGTTCTAATTGTCTCCTTACAGACAGCCACAGTTCCTCTATCAATCATATCCAGCCTTCAGTTTTCTAAACTCCTTCGTTTGTTTTTAGAAACAAGAATACCAAGCCGCCTCCTGTCACCGACAGTCAATTTTCTGGGTCAACCTGCGCCTATCTGGTGCTCAATGCCATATCCATTTGTAATATTTTTCAAAACACGATAAACAGTGGACAAAGGGATGCCTGTTCTACTTGAAATCCCTTTAGCTGATCTGATGTCCTCGTATAATACTCTAAGATCAACTTCCTCTTCTCTAAATCATCCATACTGAGGATCACTGAAAATGTCGTCAGCTAGCAAGTAAACAAAGGGGGATAACTCTTCACAAACTAATGAAAAAGGATTAACGGAGTTGTCTCTCTTGAATGAAACCAAGCACTCGATAGCTGGTCAAGGTTGTTTATACTAGAAATCCAATTAAACATATTCCTAAAATTCTCAATAATTTCTGGTCATACTATAACTACCTACACCAATAACACATTTACAAAACTAACTATAAAACGCTCGATGCATTCAATTTTTAATGACTCCACTCTTCACTAAAATAGAGTAAGTTTGGCATAATCTGTGCATCAATATCTTGAATATAACTAAAGGGCAAATATTCTTAAACTTACATTGTAATTGTTTAACGGAAACTAAAATAGCTTTTGATGCTTTTCTAACAAGAACTCCAATACCCTTTGACCAACATAACCTGTTAGAAAACGTCAACCCAAGATAATTATAATAGGTTGATGTCTTAATAATTTTATTGCCAGACATCATCAATTTTTCAGAAAAACTTAACTTGACACTATTTCTAAAACCTAATATTTTAGTTATGTATGTAAACTAGATCTACGCGACCAAGATCAAGCAAATGTTTCATGTATGCTTCAACACCCGAAAAAAGGGCATCCAATAGGGCTGCGCAATATAACCAGTTTACCGGTATTTACCAGTTCAGAAATGAAAACGATTCGTATTGCGATACGCTGATCGAAAACCGGTATTTTCGGAAAAATTCGTAACACTCGGAAACCTTGATGATTGTGGCAAGTGTGGTAATGGTTATGGAAATGATGGTGGTGAACATTACAGTTAACCGGATTGTTAAATTCGGTTTGAAGTTTTGTTCAAGTGTTTCGCAATGTATTGGATCTTAATGTTTTAGATATTTACTCATTACTGACCAGTGATCTCTGATATGTCCTGACCAGGTCAAGTTGCTGTCTAAATTCTCAGGGCTGTTTTGAGAGTGGAGAAAGTGGTTCAAACTAGTAACCACTGTGTTGATGTTAAATTGTTCTTTTCCTTGTGTCATTTGTGCCAAATAGTATTTACATTTTTATTTTATCATGATTAAAAGTTTTTATTAAAGCTTAATCAAGCATAGTGATTTTGTTGTGTTTGCGCTTTATAAATCAAACATTAACTCCATTATAAATAGCTTTTTGCAATATATTGCAATACATACCACAATATATGCTTTCGCATCGCAATATATCCCAATATAAACATTCTCTGCAATACCCACCCATAGAATCCAAGCGGTTCATTTCGTGTAATAATAATGCAGAATGTCGTTCTGTTAATACAAAAACCTTTAGCATTCCTAAAAGTTCATTCCAAATTCCATTTCTGTTTGAGCCAACTGTTATTGCCAAACAAATCCCAAGCACAATATATATTGTCTATTTGTACATCATTAAAGTAACATTTTTCGTATTTCGACAATCTTTCACTATTTTGTTATACTATTTTTCGATATTTATCATCATACAATTGTCAAAAAAGGACACATGAAGGACATCAAAAGTCTATTCTTTAATCCAAAATCTTTATCAGAAATATACATCAGAGGCAATGAAACAGGTCATAACTGTACCATTTCAAGATAAAGTTGAATATCCAACACACCACAAGCTTTACTCTAGAATCTATCACGCTTTTGCGCTTGGCATGAAGTAACATTTTAGAAGAGACTATAAAAGATGCATATGATTTATCTTCTGGAAAGATAATGCTGTAGATAAATGGTGTAAGTAATTTAAAAGCAATATCAATAGTAGTGTAACTTTCACGAATGCATGCTTGAAGTTAAACAATTTATACACCATTCTTTGTCAATTATTAAAAATGTGTATGACACATTTGATAAAATACCTGTAATTGTTGGCTGAAGCAGTATGCTTTTCTTACGAATATGTACAATTAGACCCATGCACCGCGTCTTTGGACAACCTGATCGTTTAAAAAACGTAAGTAACAACTTTATATTTGTAACTAAAATGTCCTTAGATAAGCTATTCAATTCTGCTGTGATATGATCTGACAAGATCGTTATTTCTGCAGCTGCTGCACAAATCCCATCTCAGCCCGACGAGTAAAGCGCAGTTCGAGTGACCTAGTTCATCCAAGGTGGAACAACTGCCCAACCCACCATATATTTAATCGTCGTCATCGTCGTCCTCGCGACGGGAACATCCGCACACGAGGCAAAAGAAGATCCACAGGGGTATAGAGAAGCCAACAGCGTGGACGTGTAGAAGTGTATCCAGGCATGAGGATTTGGTCAGCCAGATGGTTCCTAAACAGATATTAATTATTTCTCATTTTTCTCTGCCGCAGGTATCATTTGCAATCCGCTTTACTTTGAATTCAATCAGCGTCCGCCCGGAGAGCGGAAGGTCGCGGGTTCGATCCCCGGGCGTGTCATACCAAAAGACGTTAAAATATGGTACTTGTTGGTCCCTGCCTGGCGCTCGGCATTAATGGGTACAACAAGGACTGATCGGCTCGGAGTCAGTATAATGTGTCTGAGTGGTGTATTCATGCTTCACTGCGGCATGGTATCTCAGTGGGCTAGCACTATAAAACCAGCTTCAGTCTGGGCTAGTACAAGCAGCCGCACATACACATACACACGCATGCACGTCGTCATATGAGCGAAATATTCTCAAGCACGACGTTAAACCCAATTTCACCTCACCTCACCTTGAATTCAATCATTTTATTGACAGTTATGTCTTCTATAACAAGCAGGAGTTCAAATATAATGTTCAAGGAGGCTCAAGCCCGTATCAGTGCCACATCGACACTACAGCCAATATGAACAAACAAACAGATACACCATGCGTTACGATGGTGATAATACCACAGATTACTATGACAAGTGTCCAGAGAAGCTCACCTGTGATTCCCCATCCGATATTAAACAATCCAATGATGGCACAGGTAGCGGTTATGAATGTACCACTTATCCTCGTGCAGCAGCACCAACACAAGGCCAGGATGGGGATGACGACAGAGGTGGCTCCCTGGACTATCATGTAGATGGCCAGTCGGGTGTGGCCTGGGCACAGGTTGTAGTCAAGGATGCCTTGAGAAACGAGAACATCAAATATCTACGTGGGGTTCACTGGAAGACCTTGAGAATATATTTCTCCTCTGCTGATTCATTAACCTGACACTCAATGGAAAACGTACGTTCGTTTTTAGGTACGTAAGTGTCTTTCGGATTTAACATTGTCAAGTAATAATTATGGCAAAGTTAATCATTATATACATTGTCAAAGAATGAAACAAATCCTAATAAAGACATAGTACTTATAGCGGAGCAGCTTTAGGACACAGCACCACCACAACATCTCGTGAGAATGATGTTTGCCTTTGTTTACACGCCCCTAAGTATGAGATACAACATGACACGGGGCAGTATTGAAAAGTAAGCATGTTTACTCAATAATGCCCATGGGTCATGTTGTATCCGACTTACGAACAGACAGAAAAAGCGAAAAATATGAAAAATAGCACATACTCGATAGGATTTAACGAGATATTGCAAAATATAACAACTGAATCGCTTATAAGTCATATCAAAATTAGTAACGTGAAGAACATTTAAAAAAAAAAGTCATTATCAATCGAAAGAGTATTTTAAAAATTGCATTCCGAAAACTATCGTGAGTTAATGAGCCGTTCGACTTGCAGCAGATCGCTCTTTACGTGCAGAGTTTAGAACACGTCACTCGCACACAACAATATGAATGGTAATATTTTCATAACGCAGTCCACTTAATTCGAAAACAAGGATGAAGTTGGTAAAAACGATTTTCTCTACAGGTTTGGAGAATTGTTTAGGAAATGACCTAAGATGAATATATTCTGAGGCAGAGGTTACTTTGACGTGGTATGTTTTCACTTTTAATCTATGAAAAACTAGTTGAATCTGAGAAAGAGTGTGTTAATAATGGCGAAGAAAGGCACCCATGCAGCTGTTGTTTAATTGCACGTAATTCACAAGAAGCACGACATATTCAGGACAGCTGACCAGCAATATCCACTGTAAAAGGCCAGACGCTTATAATTCCCTCTCAATGTGACCCCAGGAAGTGCAGAAATCAGAAAAAAACACCTCTGTTCATCGTTGTGGAACAGGTTCCGTCTCCGGGGGAAAAGACAGATAGGTCTACGTCTGTCTGATACCTCGCAGAGTGACGTTGTTCGTCGATTAACTGTCCATATTTGAAACGCTATTTGGAAATTAGTGACTTTATGGACATGTACTGAAATCCAATAGAAACGCATGACCCTAATTTTCATTGATCATCTAATGTAAACAAAATGACTTTTGAACACAAACTGTGCTTGAAGTAATCTGTTTTTAACAGATAGACGTGATGCACACTGAGAAACACGTGCATCCCTGTTGATCACGTGCTCCGCCATTCGCTGAAAATCACAGTTTCGCCTGCAAATCGCGTGAAAATGAAGAAAACGTGACGGTTCCACAACACGCTGACAGATCATTCAACTGTGTGCCAAAATCACAACTTTTGAACATCACTAAATTGTTTACTGCACATAATGGCACGTTATTCAGCTGTTGAGAGAGGTGTTCAGCTGTTTTGGTGTCTTAGTTTGTCTACAGGTCAAGTGGCCAGAAGGTTTTATTGTCACAATTCAAAAGTCGCCAGGTTATCACGGAGCCTACGACAAACTGGCACAATACGTCGTCGACCACGCCTAGGCCAACCACGTCTCACGACTCCGCCCCAAGAGCTTTACATTTCTGCACTTATTTAAGGAACAGGTTGAAGCCAACGTCCAGAACAGCCACTTCCAGTCGTGAGAGAAGGGGTATCATTAGTCCCCAGACGTTCCTGACATTGCCTGTGTGAAATTTCAGTTTGACCCCGACATTAATTATGCGTTTTCATTTCCTTTCGATCTTGATTGAAAATTTCAATGTCAGTTGAAGAAAGTTCTTTCCTTCATTCATCAGGAAGATAACACGTTTTATCCCGGTGATGCGTTTCTAATGAATCTCAGTATACATTTGTCTTTTCATGTTGTAACAGAGCATTCACAGCAGTATAAGTATACGATTCTGTATATTGTTTGTGAGTCGCAGTTACTTTTGAATTTGAGTATATGTTTATATTTTCCGCAATAACTTTGCTGAAAGGTCAAGCGTGTTCGGGGATGAAGCTTTACAACCACAAACCTCAAACACGCCTGTGCATGACAAGAGTAACATGACGTGGTCGTGTCTGAGGGCAGTTGTTAAAACATCCCAAAACACATTTTTTTTACTCCACGATTACCTTTTAAAAACATGCCAAAGCTCCCCAAACATGAATGATTCCATGTTGTTGATCTTACCAAAGACTGTCATGGCCACAGAAAGGGTACCAAAGATAATAGAAATGACGCCGACCCACGCCTTCGCTTAAAAACAGAAAATTATTGATGCTTAAAAAATAATGCATGCATTGGATTGAATTACAAATTCCATAGACATCTGTCCCTTTGTTTCAATGGATAGTATCCTTTTCTTTACATAAGAAACAACAACTTATGTGTACTTAACATAACGCGCGAAGCTGATAAGGTTTGTCATCCTTGAATCAGGGGCCTGTACAGTGTTTAAGGGAAGGTTTTTTTTATCACATCCGACGTTTCGATTCCCTGCTAAATGATTACTGGTTACTTACCACTGTGGTGAGAATGGCGAGCCGGCGGTGCAGACTCCTCGGCTGTCAACAATATATACACATTTATTCAAAAGTGTTATAAAAAATATCATTGTTCGTTGACATGAACTTTATAAAGTGGCAAGAATGTAAAGTTTTGGTCGTTTACTATCTAGGACTTAAAGTTTGCTCTACTCTCATGTTTTGTGTAGCCATGCTACATAAAACTCATCACGACGTCAACCAAAAAGGCAATAAAATACTCATTACGACGCCAGCCAACAAGACAACATGATAGTAACCTTGCCCCTAGCCTACAAGACACCACGATACTCACCATGTCCCCAACCAACAAGACAACATGATAGTCACCGTGCCCCTAGCCTACAAGACACCACGATACTCACCATGTCCCCAACCAACAAGACAACATGATAGTCACCGTGCCCCTAGCCTACAAGACACCACGATACTCACCATGTCCCCAACCAACAAGACAACATGATAGACAGCTTGCCCCTAGCCAACAAGACACCACGATACTCACCATGTCCCCAACCAACAAGACAACATCATAGTCACCATGCCCCTAACCTACATGACACCACGATACTCACCATGACCCAAACCAACAAGACAACATGATAGTCACCATGCTCCTAATCTGAATGACACCACGATACTTACCATGTCCCCAATCAACAAGACAACATGATAGTCAACGTGCCCCTAGCCAACATGACACCACGATACTCACCATGTCCCCAACCAACAAGACAACATCATAGTCACCTTGCCCCTAACCTACATGACACCACGATACTCACCATGTCCCCAACCAACAAGACAACATGATAGTGAACGTGACCCTAGCCAACATGACACCACGATACTCACCATTTCCCCAACCAACAAGATCACATGATAGTGAACGTGCCCCTAGCCTACAAGACACCACGATACTCACCATGTCCCCAACCAACAAGACAACATCATAGTCAACGTGCCCTAGCCTAACAAGAGACACCACGATACTCACCATGTCCCCAACCAAAAGACAACATGATAGTCACCGTGCCCCCAGCCAACATGACACCACGATACTCACCATGTCCCCAACCAACAAGACAACATGATAGTCACCGTGCCCCTAACCTACAAGACACCACGATACTCACCATGTCCCTAACCAACAAGACAACATGATAGTGAACGTGCCCCTAGCCAACATGACACCACGATACTCACCATGTCCCCAACCAACAAGACAACATGATAGTGAACGTGCCCCTAGCCAACATGACACCACGATACTCACCATGTCCCCAATCAACAAGACAACATGATAGTGACCGTGCCCCTAGCCAACATAACACCACGATACTCACCATGTCCCCAACCAACAAGACAAAATGATAGTGAACGTGCCCCTAGCCTACATGACACCACGATACTCACCATGTCCCCAACCAACAAGACAACATGATAGTGAACGTGCCCCTAGCCTACAAGACACCACGATACTCACCATGTCCCCAACCAACAAGACAACATGATAGTCACCATGCCCCTAGCCTAGAAGACACCACGATACTCACCATGTCCCTAACCAACAAGACAACATGATAGTGAACGTGCCCCTAGCCTACAAGACACCACGATACTCACCATGTCCCCAACCAACAAGACAACATGATAGTCAACGTGCCCTAGCCAACATGACACCACGATACTCACCATGTCCCTAACCATCAAAACAACATGATAATCACCGTGCCCCTAGCCTACAAGACACCAGGATAATCACCATGTCCCCAACCAACAACACAACATGATAGTCACTGTGCCCCTAGCCAACATGACACTACGATACTCACCATGTCCCTAACCAACAAGACATCATGAATAGTCACCGTGCCCCTAGCCTACAAGACACCACGATACTCACCATGTCCCCAACCAACAAGACAACATGATAGTCACCGTGCCCCTAGCCTACAAGACACCACGATACTCACCATGTCCCCAACCAACAAGACAACATGATAGTCACCATGACCCCTAGCCTAGATGCCACCACGATAATCACCATGTCCCTAACCAACAAGACAACATGATAGTCACCGTGCCCCTAGCCTACAAGACACCACGATACTCACCATGTCCCTAACCAACAAGACAACATGATAGTCACCGTGCCCCTAGCCAACATGACACCACGATACTCACCATGTCCCCAACCAACAAGACAACATGATAGTCACCGTGCCCCTAGCCTACAAGACACCACGATACTCACCATGTCCCTAACCAACAAGACAACATGATAGTCACCGTGCCCCTAGCCAACAAGACAACATGATAGTCACCATGCCCCTAGCCTAGATGACACCACGATACTCACCATGTCCCTAACCAACAAGACAACATGATAGTGAACGTGCCCCTAGCCTACAAGACACCACGATACTCACCATGTCCCCAACCAACAAGACAACATGATAGTCACCGTGCCCCTAGCCTACAAGACACCACGATACTCACCATGTCCCTAACCAACAAGACAACATGATAGTCACCGTGCCCCTAGCCTACATGACACACCACGATACTCACCATGTCCCTAACCAACAAGACAACATGATAGTCACCGTGCCCCTAGCCTACAAGACACCACGATACTCACCATGTCCCCAACCAACAAGACAACATGATAGTGAACGTGCCCCTAGCCAACAAGACACCACGATACTCACCATGTCCCCAACCAACAAGACAACATGATAGTCACCGTGCCCCTAGCCAACAAGACACCACGATACTCACCATGTCCCTAACCAACAAGACAACATGATAGTGAACGTGCCCCTAGCCTACATGACACCACGATACTCACCATGTCCCCAACCAACAAGACAACATGATAGTCACCGTGCCCCTAGCCAACATGACACCACGATACTCACCATGTCCCCAACCAACAAGACAACATGATAGTCACCGTGCCCCTAGCCTACAAGACACCACGATACTCACCATGTCCCCAACCAACAAGACAACATGATAGTCACCGTGCCCTAGCCTACAAGACAACACGATACTCACCATGTCCCCAACCAACAAGACAACACGATAGTCACCATGCCCCTAGCCTACAAGACACCACGATACTCACCATGTCCCTAACCAACAAGACAACATGATAGTCACCGTGCCCCTAGCCTACAAGACACCACGATACTCACCATGTCCCCAACCAACAAGACAACATGATAGTGAACGTGCCCCTAGCCTACAAGACACCACGATACTCACCATGTCCCTAACCAACAAGACAACATGATAGTCACCGTGCCCCTAGCCAACAAGACAACATGATACTCACCGTGCCCCCTAGCCAACAAGACATGATAGTCACGTGATAGCCAACAAGACACCACGATACTCACCATGTCCCTAACCAACAAGACAACATGATAGTGAACGTGCCCCTAGCCTACAAGACACCACGATACTCACCATGTCCCCAACCAACAAGACAACATGATAGTCACCATGTCCCTAGCCTAGAAGACACCACGATAATCACCATGTCCCCAACCAACAAGACAACATGATAGTGAACGTGCCCCTAGCCAACATGACACCACGATACTCACCATGTCCCCAACCAACAAGACAACATGATAGTGAACGTGACCCTAGCCTACAAGACACCACGATACTCACCATGTCCCTAACCAACAAGACAACATAATAGTCACCGTGCCCCTAGCCAACATGACACTACGATAATCACCATGTCCCTAACCAACAAGACAACATGATAGTGAACGTGCCCCTAGCCAACATGACACCACGATACTCACCATGTCCCCAACCAACAAGACAACATGATAGTCACCATGTCCCTAGCCTAGAAGACACCACGATAATCACCATGTCCCTAACCAACAAGACAACATGATAGTGAACGTGCCCCTAGCCAACATGACACCACGATACTCACCATGTCCCTAACCAACAAGACAACATGATAGTCACCGTGCCCCTAGCCTACAAGACACCACGATACTCACCATGTCCCTAACCAACAAGACAACATGATAGTGAACGTGCCCCTAGCCAACAAGACACCACGATACTCACCATGTCCCCAACCAACAAGACAACATGATAGTCACCGTGCCCCTAGCCAACATGACACCACGATACTCACCATGTCCCCAACCAACAAGACAACATGATAGTGAACGTGCCCCTAGCCTACAAGACACCACGATACTCACCATGTCCCTAACCAACAAGACAACATGATAGTCACCGTGCCCCTAGCCTACAAGACACCACGATACTCACCATGTCCCCAACCAACAAGACAACATGATAGTCACCTTGCCCCTAGCGTACAAGAAACCACGATACTCACAATGCCAGCAACATGCCAGCATGATACTTGATTACACAGTAAGGTACTCCTCGGTGTCCCTAACCATCAAGGTAACTAGATGTTCAGCAACAGAAGATGATACTGAACATGTCCATAGCTAACACGACAACATGATGCTCAATGTGTCCCGAGTTATCACGAGAGCACCACATGCACAATGTTCCTCGATGACAAGACATTTCAGCAAGCTTTACACAACTTACTCAGCAGGACATGACATAAAGTGTACTCACCACTCCCCGTGATTACAACTATGCCAGTGACCTGCTGGGTATGTGCCTCTGAAATACAAGTACTGGTAAGTATCCATTGTTCAAGATTCAAGAATGCCACACTTAAATAACGAACTAGCGTTCACATGTGTCTGTGCCTGTGTTTGTCCCTGTATCTGTGTGCTTGTACAGGCATATACGTACGACAGTTTCATCGTACAAGCCCTGTCAGGTACAGTGTTGTGGTATTGCTACACTGCTCAAATACATTATACCGTATCTGGGCGGAGGAGTCCTTGGTTTATGAAATTCTTATTCCCTTTAATCTATATAACTATATATAACTACTATATAAGTTTTAGTATAACTTTGTATTGTCAAGCATATTTATTTATTTCCAAATGAAACCCAAATGAAACTCTATTTGGCAGAAACAAATGTCACCTTGAAATCTGTATATATTCCATATCAGTGTCAGTGGAATCGCCATCACACCAGTCACAATATTGTTTCAATGTTACACGCACTATGTCAGGCATACAGTCAGTTATGAAAACAACTCTTACCGAGTGCCAGTGTCGTCATGGTAACCTCTCTGTTGACGCTCGCATCCTGCCGAGACAGCGACGCTACTATAAGGATTGTTCTTGCACATACAAATACATGATTTTCAAACTTAGAGAGATGGCATGCGGTATATAAACATTCAGGTGAGACGCATCGTAAAAACACATTTGGAATCTCAGCAAAGAACAATTAGTTAACTACTCCCTGAAAGAATCGCACAGACCATTATTTATCATCTGATATATCTTAGAGGAATCCGGAGTATCTCTCTCTCCCTGACTTGGTTGACACATGCCATCGTATCCCAATTACTTAGACCGATGCTTATGATGTTGATAATGAAGTTGATCACTGGATTGTCTGGTCCAGAGTCTCCAGACTCGATTATTTAGAAACCGCCGCCATATAACTGGAATATTACTGAGTGCGGCGTAAGACTAAGCTCACTCACCCGACGCATTATATTATGCATTTGTTAAACATGCTTTAGGTATTTCAGAGTATGAATCCACTGACATTCTTTACTAATCTGCTGTTTGATGTATAAAGGGAGTAGGGGACAATCGCTTCAGCAAGTTCTACGACACATGCAACGACGACACTGGAGACGTTTTGATTACACCTTCAGGAGGCTGGTATTCAGCCAAGGTGAACAGTGTTTGGATCCATCCTTACATGGACAAAGATGAATGACAGAAATCTTTGTATTTCGTTTTGAACTGACGAACAGAACGGGCGAAAAATCGTTTATAGATGGCACATCCTATGATAGTCATCTGGCCTCACATCAAGTTCATGAACCCTCAAAAGGCATTGATTAGTCTTTCTTTAATACGTTAGTGACATGTTTCACATGTGATAATGAAGGGGTGTTCTTAAGAGTTACGAGGATATATCAAAATTATCTATGCGTTTCTTTCTTTTTAATAGTATATTTACCATGTTAAAACATCAGTGAAAAAACATTTGTACCATGGGATATCAACAGAAAAACGAAAGCACTAGTCACATCAAACCAAATATTAAAGGAATCACTTTAAAAAAATAACGGGCACTTCAACAATCAGTATTTTGAGAAAATAATTGCAAGGTTATGCAAGAGGAAAATCCCCAAGCTATACAGCGATTATATTTAATGGAATATCGACAGTTATAGCCAGTTATATAGAAATATACATACTGTTTGCAACAGCACCCTCGGTTTTATCCTCTTCTGAAAATGTACACGTTCTTCTCTGATTGTTTCGGTGGAGTCCGTCAGACCAGGAACGTTGCTACCGAACCAGGAAGATTTGGGCATTGCATGAGGACAACACAAAACTAATTCCTCGTCAACACGGGGTTTTACTTTTGTTGTCAGTAATCTACAGATACGTGCGATTGGCACGTGGATCCTTAAAACAGCTGGTCCTAGTTACAAGGGTATGCGAGTCTGTTGCCATCAGTTTTTTAATTTAGATTACGTGGCCTTCAAAATGTGATCGGCAGTAAACCAGCCAACACGTAATGCAATCAGTATGGTTGCCTTTGCTCCAAATCATACATTTAATCAGTCAAATAAAACTTTATGTGTGGGGCATCTAGTATTTACGCATTTTTTTTATTCCATTCAAACAGTATTTTAGGTTGATTGAACAGATAAATCAACCTCTCCCCCTAAACTAATTTGATTTCACTCGGCTATTTATTGTACATTAAACATAAATTAGGTACATGAAAACCCTTTCCTTTGCCACAAGAAACGTCAGATTCTTCTACTTCACAAAGACTTGCTTATGAATCACCACCTTAAGACGGTGAACTCTCTTCTCGAAAAGCTTAACGTAGCCTGCCCGACGGTAGCATCTGTGAAAGTTTTATTGCGGCCATGAATTTGGTAAACCTCAAGCCCTCAAGGTAACCACAAGCCGTCGTTGTCTGGCTCTTCTTCATCTACGTAGGAAGAAGGTTAAAAGGTTGTGAAAAGCAAACACGTAAGCGTGGAGCTGGCGGAATATTGTTGGTCAAGGGAAGGCTTGCTACTGGAAACATGGAGTCACCCCTTTTGTCTTAGTGTCTTGTGGAGAGTCTTGTTACACTAAATGTTTATGCATTGATTTATGAAACACATCAGACGAACTCACTTGTCTCTATTTCTAGTTCAGGTGGGGAAGTCAGTAGAAAGGAACTCCTCTCCCGAGTTTCACTGCAGTGATAAACACCCGAGACCTGTATCACTGTAGGCTTCCTTGCAACACTGAAGATTGACGGGACGTGATGTAACTCTGATACACCTCAAGGCGGAGTTAAACCCGACCACTCATTCACCCCACACTGTAAGCAGTTATCTCTGATCTAGCCGATAGAGCTCTTTGGACATTCAGCATCATATTTTGTGGCAAATCAGGAAAAACACATGTGAACTCATACTCCTTAATTTCAGTATTTATTGTCAAAACAAGGACTCAATTATAGCACATTTGCCTCTGTATACAGACACACTGTACAAGTGAAGTGAGGTACACCTGTACATGAATGGTATATGTGGTAACCGAAGTCATTTACTGCACACATGTCACCTCATATAGTCAACAGTTAACTGAGGGTTACCACCATGGAAGGCAACATTGTACACCTGACTCATAACGTAACAGTCACGTTCTGCGTAGAACTTAACCTTACCGGGATTTTTCTTTTTCTTTTGGGATTCCACTCCATGTCTTTGTTTACGAAACTGCTCAAATGTTATATCAACTTATTAATAATGTACAAACTGTTTACTGGACATTTTAGACGTTGCTGAGTAACGGTAAAGGCAAGATATGTTGTGGATGACAACTTTTCAGTATTATGATGTGACCCGTGAAGATCCGGGGTAGAATAGGTCTTCAGCAACCCATGCTTGCCACAAAAGGCGACTTTGCTTGTCGTAAGAGGCGATTAACGGGATCGGGTGGTCAGGCCCGCTGACTTGGTTGACCCTACATGTCATAGTATCCCAAATGCGCAGATCAATGCTCATGCTGTTGATCACTGGATTGTCTGGTCCAGACTCCAGATTATTTACATTATTATTTTATATAGCTGGAATATTGCTGAAGACACTAAACTCACTCACTCAGTATTATGATGTGACATTTCGGTATAGCTCCTTAAGCCTTATACAATTGTCTTGCTTGATTTCTGTGTAAGGAACTCCACCTAAACGTCGCGTCATAATAGAGTAAACAGTATCATAAAGTACAGCTGTGTAAACAACCACGCTCCACTGATGCAAATTCACTCAGTACACTTGCTAACACTAAAGAGTAACGCTAGAATGGGGAAAAACGAAACACGTTATTTGCATTCCATTTCAAACAAGTGGCAAGGTAAGGTAAACTAAGGGCTGGAGGTAAACTGGATTTACCATATAAATCGCCAGTGCATGACGCCATTTTAAAATGAATCCTTCAGAAAACGTATCTCAGAGTGACATGAATGATCACTTAAGGCTTGCCCACAACAGCACACGTTCTTGATAACGGTACCTGGATGTACTGTTTAATATCCTGGGAAAAAACACGGCAGTTATTTATCTGACCTTTGAACACAGCTTAACAGATAACATGATACCGCATGGCCCTTGTATCATAACCAACATACTTCATGATACTACTCGCAGCAAAATGAGGACATTTTAGAAAAATATTTTTTAGATACCCAAAAATATAATCATACAGGAAGCTGAGTCATCAGGCTGTTCAAGTGTTTACGTGACAAACATGACAGGTGTAGCGCACTACCTGGCCACACTGAAGACACGTAATGCACATACTAAAGCGTTGCCATAATCACAAGAAATATACACTTAAAGCAGTCTACAGGTCTAACCATATCCTACACATCAAATAGTAACGAAACCATATGTTCGTGAAAAGTCCAAAGTATCCTGCACACCGGTGGCAATTGTCCTAACACATGCAAGGGCAAGTAAAAAAAACAAAGAAGACAGTAGACTTCATATTTGTCGAAGTTTTAAAAAGAAAATCACATTTTACATGTTTCACATTTTACATGCTTTGAATACTGTAACTTGATCAGACTTTTTGTGAGACAAAGAAAACACACAACCTCAAATGTAGCTAAAAATGTGAAATTCAGACACCAACGGCTGGTTCTGCTGGAATATTAGGTGGCATAAAGGGGAATTAACTATTGGAAACTTTTAACTGTTGGCACTTGTGATGCAGTTTCTTCGAAGGTCTTTTATCCTATAAGAAGCGTTATGTGACCATTTTAACATAATCAGGTCATAAATATACCTTAAGCCTTGGTTACTTTAGGGGCCACATGTCTTTGCTTTGGTTTTACCAGTCCGATTGGACATTCTCATTATCATGCAGACAATAACAGACACACAATCAGTGGGCTTCAGATGTAGCCCATAGGAACTTCTTGCCTAATGCACAATCATATACTGAACATCATTGACAACGCACCACCTGTAAATTTTGAAATATGGTAATGGGATTGTTTTGCGAGTGAAAATGAACGTTGGAAATGTTGTTAATAACACAAAAGACAATATATAATGCTGTACAGTAAAGAACGGATTCCCCGAACACATCATGGAACACATCACGTGACAACAACAAAATTCATGCACAGCACATACGAAAAGCACAAATTGCATGCGTAAAACATGCTGATTAGGGGTATAAATGACCGTCGGCAAAAAAACGTTCTCATTTTAGCTGTACCTCCGCAAGTAAAGTTTATTTTGTAATGGCAAGATTGTCACCAAAGGAACGAGAACGGGCGTTGGGCATGTTGCAGGTTGGCACATCAAGCAGGATTATTGCCAGACGATTTGGTTGCCATCATTCCACCAGCATACGAATTGCCAACAGGTACCAACAAACAGGAACCACCAGGGACCGCCAACGTGCTGGGTAGGCACGTGTTACCACCCCTCGCCAAGATCGAGACATTGTTCGGCTCCATATTCGGGATCGTACGTTGCCAGCTGCCAGAACCGCCAATGCTGTTCAAGGCCGACGTGGTTTGATCAGTGCTTCCACCGTCCGACGCCGTCGGCAGGATTACGGTGTCGACGCCCTTATGTTGGACCCATCCTGACTGATAGACATCGCCGTGAACGCCGACGATGGGCTGAACAGCATCGTTTGTGGTTGTTACGACGTTGGCATGGTGTTGTGTTCTCCGACGAGTCACGTTTTCACTTGCGAAATGCTGACGGGCGTCTATGGATATGGCGTCGACGGGGAGAACGTTACGATCAGGACTGTGTTGTGCAAACATATCGGTGGGGTGGAGGCAGCATTATGGTGTGGGGAAGGATCAGTTATCATCACAAAACCGCTCTGGTAGTTTGTCGTGGCAGAGTGAATGCCCTTTACTACCGTGACACCATTCTTCAGAACAACGTCGTTCCTTTCTTTAACCAACATCTAGATCTGCACACATTCCAGCAGGACAATGCTCGAGCGCACACTGCACGTGTTGCAACACAGTTTCTGGCAAACAACAACATTCCTCTACTTCCATGGCCTGCATTGTCACCAGATTTGTCTCCCATTGAACACTTGTGGGATTACATCGGCCAACGCCTCTCACGTCGCCCACAGATCAACAACCTTGGGGGACTTGAGAATGCCTTGCAACAAGAGTGGAATGCATTGCCTCAAAACATTATTCAGAGACTTATCAGTTCAATGAGGAGACGTTGCACAGCTTGTGTTGCTGCTAACGGTGGTCATACACGTTACTGACTTTCCAATTTGACTCCATCTTTCTTTCATGGTCAGCTGAATTAAAACTTCACTGTTTTGCTGGATTGGTTCTTGTTTCTTTTCTTTACCAATCATTGGACTACAAAAGTATGTAAAATTTACACCGATTGCTCATTTATGCTCTTGGAAATGCAAACTAATACAGGTGGTGCGTTTTCAATGATGTTCAGTATATTTTCTGCAAGGGGAAATCCTGCATTTCGCAAAGTGTTTTCTCCTCAATTCGCTTAAGTTTGGACAATTGGTGAATTTGTGATCAGGGCCTAGCTACGTGTTTCGGTGACTCCCGCCATTTTAACTGTGTGACAGGCAGTCTATGTCGCAATGGGGTTACCGCTACTTTTGACTAAGATAAGCGTTTTCCATGTTTATGCAGTCTTGTGAATTGCGTACAGGGGAACCCAGATTGGTATTTGATTCTTTGTCAAGTCGTGTTTCAAAGGTGCTTTTGATTCTGAAAAACGGGAACTATGTGATTCTTGCTTTTGTATACATACCCGTTGTATTCATACGCGTGTTTTTTATAAATATGATATCCAGTGCCACTGTCAAATCGCACAAGTGACTGAATGTTGGTAAACATCATATGTGTCAGATAAAGTCCAGTTGCTTCCTGACATCTGTGATCTTCCTCTTTGAATTGTCCAATGTAATTCCCAGCCGATACTTCAGCGCAAAAGTTCTCCGTGTCCTTACATAATTCAATAGCTGATGCTATGAATAAACTTTTCGAACACAGAAACAAATTATATTATCCAGCAGAAGTGGGTACCCGTTGGGATACGTCATGTGACTGTAACTTTCTAGCAGCTTGGGTTATCCGGGGTAATAATCATCAGATTGTAGCCCTTTGAGAGTGCCCCACCGTGGTGTGGAATTCAGCGCATTACAAATGCCGTTATTATTTATTCATTTATTTATTATCTTAGTAACTATCGAGTTATTCAAATTACCCAGACAAATAAGTGAGTGGGTGAGTGAGTGAGTCATTGGTAGCTTACAGATATAGAGACATAGTGCTGGACCCATGAAGATCCGAGGTAGAATTGATATTCAGTAACCCATGCTTGTCGTAAGAAGCGACTAACGGGATCGGTAGGTCAGGCTGGCTGACTTGGTTAACACATCTCACGGTTCCCAATTGTGCAGATCGATGCTCATGCTGTTGATCATTGGATTGTCTGATCCAGACTCGATTATTTACAGACCCCCGCCATATAGCTGGAATATTGCTGAGCGCGGCGTAAAACTAAACTCACTCACTCATTCTTAACATTAGGTATCGCTAAGAGAGCTTTGAGAATAGACTTAGTTGAGATATGTTTTGAATACGTGATATTGACGTCAGACTAAGCGTTACGACAGCACCATCGTGTAGACAGACAGACAGGCAGACAATGATTTTAAAACAGTCTTACTCGTGTACATACAGTTGATACACAGGGGTTAAAAGTACACAATAAATCACTTAGACCAAAAACTAGTAAATACATAAATATAAATATAGAAATAGAAATATATGCAAAATATTTAGTTTGACAGCACAAACATGGGAATTAATATATTGGACTGTTTTACCAAAGATCCATAGCTGAACTACAGTATGATTTGTGTTCAGGTGACAGTGAGTCACTGAATCTCTTTGCTGTCAAACAATAAGTGCAGTAATTTCAAAAGTTGGTCTGTCAGCTGTTCATTAACTATAGCCGTGTAGTAATGTTTAGTTTATTAGTTGTGTGTTAGTTTGCTATGTTTTCTCCTTCAGTGAGTTTTCAGCCTGTTTGTTGTATGCATATCAATATTCCAGTAACATCCGCAGTCCTATGGACCAGGTGTGTCAGTAGTTGACAATGTGATCAGGGTGTCCTTGGTTACCATGAAACAGCCATATAGTACAGTCTGACCTCCACAAAGACGGCTAACAGTATACGTCTATCGTATGGGTCAGACATATGTAGTTGATAATGTGGTCACGGTCACAGGGTGTCCTTGCTTACCATCACACAGCCATATAGTACAGTCTGACCTCCACAAAGACGGCTAACAGTATTCGTCTATCGTATGGGTCAGACATATGTAGTTGATAATGTGGTCACGGTTCCAGGGTGTCCTTGCTTACCATCACACAGCCATATAGTACAGTCTGACCTCCACAAAGACGGCTAACAGTATACGTCTATCGTATGGGTCAGACATATGTAGTTGATAATGTGGTCACGGTCCCAGGGTGTCCTTGCTTACCATGACACAGCCATATAGAACAGTCTGACCTCCACAAAGACGGCTAACAGTATGGGTCCATCGTATGGGTCAGACATATGTAGTTGATAATGTGGTCACGGTCCCAGGGTGTCCTTGCTTACCATGACACAGCCATATAGAACAGTCTGACCTCCACAAAGACGGCTAACAGTATACGTCTATCGTATGGGTCAGACATATGTAGTTGATAATGTGGTCACGGTCCCAGGGTGTCCTTGGTTACCATCACACAGCCATATAGTACAGTCTGACCTCCACAAAGACGGCTAACAGTATACGTCTATCGTATGGGTCAGACATATGTAGTTGATAATGTGGTCACGGTTCCAGGGTGTCCTTGCTTACCATCACACAGCCATATAGTACAGTCTGACCTCCACAAAGACGGCTAACAGTATACGTCTATCATCGTATGGGTCAGACATATGTAGTTGATAATGTGGTCACGGTTCCAGGGTGTCCTTGCTTACCATCACACAGCCATATAGTACAGTCTGACCTCCACAAAGACGGCTAACAGTATACGTCTATCGTATGGGTCAGACATATGTAGTTGATAATGTGGTCACGGTCCCAGGGTGTCCTTGCTTACCATCACACAGCCATATAGAACAGTCTGACCTCCACAAAGACGGCTACCAGTATACGTCTATCGTATGGGTCAGACATATGTAGTTGATAATGTGGTCACGGTCCCAGGGTGTCCTTGCTTACCATCACACAGCCATATAGTACAGTCCTGACCTCCACAAAGACGGCTAACGGTATACGTCTATCGTATGGGTCAGACATATGTAGTTGATAATGTGGTCACGGTCCCAGGGTGTCCTTGCTTACCATGACACAGCCATATAGAACAGTCTGACCTCCACAAAGACGGCTAACAGTATGGGTCCATCGTATGGGTCAGACATATGTAGTTGATAATGTGGTCACGGTCCCAGGGTGTCCTTGCTTACCATGACACAGCCATATAGAACAGTCTGACCTCCACAAAGACGGCTACCAGTATACGTCTATCGTATGGGTCAGACATATGTAGTTGATAATGTGGTCACGGTCCCAGGGTGTCCTTGGTTACCATGGCACAGCCATATAGTACAGTCTGACCTCCACAAAGACGGCTAACAGTATACGTCTATCGTATGGGTCAGACATATGTAGTTGATAATGTGGTCACGGTTCCAGGGTGTCGCCTTACCATCACACAACCATATAGTACAGTCTGACCTCCACAAAGACGGCTAACAGTATACGTCTATCGTATGGGTCAGACATTTGTAGTTGATAATGTGGTCACGGTTCCAGGGTGTCCTTGCTTACCATCACACAGCCATATAGTACAGTCTGACCTCCACAAAGACGGCTAACAGTATACGTCTATCGTATGGGTCAGACATATGTAGTTGATAATGTGGTCACGGTTCCAGGGTGTCCTTGCTTACCATCACACAGCCATATAGTACAGTCTGACCTCCACAAAGACGGCTAACAGTATACGTCTATCGTATGGGTCAGACATATGTAGTTGATAATGTGGTCACGGTCCCAGGGTGTCCTTGCTTACCATGACACAGCCATATAGAACAGTCTGACCTCCACAAAGACGGCTAACAGTATGGGTCCATCGTATCGGTCAGACATATGTAGTTGATAATGTGGTCACGGTCCCAGGGTGTCCTTGCTTACCATGACACAGCCATATAGAACAGTCTGACCTCCACAAAGACGGCTAACAGTATACGTCTATCGTATGGGTCAGACATATGTAGTTGATAATGTGGTCACGGTTCCAGGGTGTCCTTGCTTACCATCACACAGCCATATAGTACAGTCTGACCTCCACAAAGACGGCTAACAGTATACGTCTATCGTATGGGTCAGACATATGTAGTTGATAATGTGGTCACGGTTCCAGGGTGTCCTTGCTTACCATCACACAACCATATAGTACAGTCTGACCTCCACAAAGACGGCTAACAGTATACGTCTATCGTATGGGTCAGACATATGTAGTTGATAATGTGGTCACGGTTCCAGGGTGTCCTTGCTTACCATCACACAGCCATATAGTACAGTCTGACCTCCACAAAGACGGCTAACAGTATACGTCTATCGTATGGGTCAGACATATGTAGTTGATAATGTGGTCACGGTCCCAGGGTGTCCTTGCTTACCATGACACAGCCATATAGAACAGTCTGACCTCCACAAAGACGGCTAACAGTATACGTCTATCGTATGGGTCAGACATATGTAGTTGATAATGTGGTCACGGTCCCAGGGTGTCCTTGCTTACCATGACACAGCGAAAGAGTCGAGGTATATTACGGCTGCCAGTGAACATAGGAACACAGTGCCTGCAGTTGAGTAGCGTGTGAAAGGGTACTGGAGGTTGTAACACTCAATCGGGTAAATGGAATGGAGCCCGTATGTCATTGTAGAAGAAGTTTATTCAGTATAGCAACCAGATTCTCGTGCACATTGCATAACAAACAATAAATACATACAGCGTGGTAGTGGGGGTTTGAAAGCTGTATAGACAAAAGGTTACTATCATAATGAAAAAGGTGCAGATATAGCTTTTTGGACATATTTTGAACATGTTAACAAGGTCAATGAATCTTCAGAATTGAATATATACATAAGCTTGTATTTTGTATGGAAAATGTTTCTCTCTAAGATCATAAAAAACAGGCTATTTAAACATAAAATGACAGTCATTTTCGAATATTAATATGACAAAATGTACAAATTCTCAATTTCTAACAATACCCTCTCTGCTATCAATATTTTACATGATCTGTATCACACCTGATCTTAAAGAATGTTAACATACGCCGAAGATCCCTTTGGTATACTTTCAATAAATATGTTCCATGGCGAAAGTAGACTTAAGCTGCTTATAAGTCTAAATTCGAGTGACAACTGATCTTTGAAAAATACATCTTTGGATGTTGCAATCTTTAATTCTTTTTCTAAAGTCACTGATAAACAAATAAAGTCAAGTAGGTTTTTTAAATATGCCCATGTAATCCTACCGTGTTGATCTAACCACTTTAAGATAGTGTAACATTATTTTGAGTACCTATTCTTAGGCTTGTATACAAGTTAACACTAATATCTGACACAATTTGTAGAAGCTATTCAATAAATATACCGAGGGAAACAAATAAGTGAACACCACTTCATGACAGTGTTCACATATTTGTTTTCAGATTTCCTCCCACAGTGCTATTTAAAACTGGTGATGAAAACCTGAAAATATGACACCTGAATTTTCCTGTGTTACTTTATTTGTTTCTCTCAGTATATTTAAACGTCCACACTCACCTGAAACAGCTGCGCATGTCGATGATTTTCCAACTCCCATTGCAAATTTACAAAATTATGTGTGAAATTGTTCATTTTGCCCCACTTCTGCCAATCTAAAATCTCGTGAGCAATACAAACTTATAGGCTTTATTTTAGAATCAAACATTTTAACCAGAACTGTGGGAGAAAGATTTTTCAATTCAAAATGGAAATGTTTACTAGGAATGTGCTTTATTGCTTTCTGAATTAACGTTTGTACTGACTTCGACCATGGTAATATATTTGATAACATAATTCCTCAATAACTATAGTAGGTTATTGTAGCTATACGGACATACAAACGTCCGTGCAAAGATCACCCAGCCTTGACCATCCCCAGAAACAGATTCCGCTTGGTATGAAGGGCAACATTGTTGTGAAAATTTCATAAATGAACAACCGACAATCAACGACACAACACGCTCGCGAAAAGGGCAAGCACTGATAGTATTTGCCATTCACACAATTTGCCCCCAAAAGTATTAGCATATACAACCCTACGCTGACAACTGCCTATAATTATAAAATGCAATATGTTGAAATACTTAAATGTCTAATTATGTCTCCTTGTATGTGTTCAAAGAAATGTCTAATTAGTAGTTCCCTGGGTTTTTGGTTGACGACTTTTGGTAGACGTCCTTCCTCCAACTGGGTACTATGATGTAATGTTCATGACAGTTGTTATGTCACGAGCCCGCTGTTCCCTTCTCTGTGTTGCCGTCTGCTGCGGCTTAAAAACCTGCTGCATCATCAGCCTCTTCCTCTCCTGGAGGTCCAACATTCTCTCCTCGATAGTGTCCTCACAAATGAACTGAAACAGCCACTCATTCAAAAACCTTGTCTGGTTTCGGTTTTGCTTTAGCCGTTACAAAGGCTACTTTAAAGCTGCTTTACAAATAGGGAGTGAGTGAGTTTAGTTTTACGCCGCACTCAACAATATCCCAGCTATGTGGCAGCGGTCTGTAAATAATTGCGTCTGGACCAGACAATCCAGTGATCAACAGCATTAGCATCGATCTACGCAATTGGGAACCGATGACATGTGTGAACCAAGTCAGCGAGCCTGATCACCCAATCCCGTTAGTCGGCTCTTACGACAAGCATGAGTTACTGAAGATCAATATTCTAAGCCGGACCTTCACGGGTGCTTTACAAATAACAAAGCCAACTGTGCTGCAACTGCACGCATGTTTATGTTTTCAGTGCATGCTTTAGTGAAATCAGAATTCATATATATCTTGAAACGTTGAAGAGACTGATTGTTTACTAAATCAATCCTATACGTCAAAGCAAAAGTCGAGTTGTGTCTAACCTTTGTGATGATGACATCTCTGGTTTGGCCCAGGCGGTGGCATCTGTCGAAACACTGTTCTTCCACTGCCGGGTTCCATTGCTGTAGGTAAAGTAAGAGAGACGTTAAACACCTGGTTATACAATAACGCATTGTGCCGAACAATAAAACTGTTGTTTTGGAATCTTACCGGGTCCATGAGGAACACCCTGGATGCTGCAGTCAGGTTGAGGCCCACGCCACCCGCGCGTATGGAGATGAGGAAGATGGTTGGAGATTCAGGCTGAGGGTTCGAGAACTTCTGGATAGCTTCCTGGCGCTGAGAAATTGACATCGTTCCGTCTAGTCTCACAGCCTTGAAGTTGTGTTCCCTAAAGACACAAGCGATGCACGAATAAGTCTCCATGAATTATTTTCAATGAAAAAAAAAGGCATGCTATATTCCAAATTGAGGGAGCCAACATATGTTCCGAAAAAGACTATTCAAGGTTAGGATCCGGGAGTCACACCATACTTAAGTGGCTTTTCTATAAGCGTCAGGAAAGAGGTGAACTGCGAGGCCACAATACTCTTTACAGATGGGTCTTCATTTCTTAGCTTCACCAGGGCTGTGATCAGGGCGTCCACCTACGGACGACAGGACAAGGAAACATTTGTAATTATGATTACTATCAAACACACCCATTCTCTTGATATGAAGAAACAGGTATCCTATGGTCACCAATTGTCCTCCCCTCCTTGCAGATCTGATTCTTTGAGTGATATATCGGAAATTCTGTTCAGGTTGGCAAATTCATAAGTAGGTTATTTCGCCAAGAAGAGTATATAACTTTCAGGTATATCGATGATCAGATACTGTTCAATGGCCATCCAATAGTCAATAACCTTCCACCGAGGTACCAACCTTAGTTGGATTATAGGTAGACGTAAGCGTAGATTCGAACTGACAAGAAAACACTCAAGGCTGCGTAACAATCGGGATTACTTCAATTTTCAAAAAGTCAACATTCTGAACTTGCGAGCAACATAACTTCACCTTAGCTCCTGATATTTACATTTCACAACGTTTGATATACAATCGAACATGTACCAAGATTTAGGAGCGTCATGCGAATATACAGTCTACCTTTGTACTCGACTTCCAGTCACCATAGTGTTGAGGTTCCGGCTGTTCCGGAAGTTGGATTATCTGATCTGCAGCTATAGGCACACGACACATAGGACACGTGGCATCACTCTGGAACAATACAGTCGAAATGTAGATGATCAGCTATGCCATCTTTTGATTTATTAGATTTATTTTTATATATGGCATTCTATTTAACACTCCCAGTACAACAAATCAGATCAATGAGTAAAACAACCCGGTATCGTATTTATAACTGTCACTTGTGTAGGTATAACTGGTGTTTTAGATTGCGTTTGACTTGATATCGATTCATTTTGCATGTACATACTCATTCTTTTGCTATATATTTTACACTGTCTTAGAAAACCATATATGTATAAGGTTGTGTATAAGATATTTGTTCATCTACATAGTTTATGAAATACGGCTTGTTCGTTGTTTGTTCCCCTCTCCTTGTTGGGAAGAGCTGATAAAGGACTGGTCCGTCATTGTTTTACATCGATGTTAAAAGTCTGAGATGTGTACCTTCTCTGCTTGTTCCATGTGTTTGATGTATTTGAGGATGCATTTGTGACAGAAGTAATGTGCACATGGTAGTATCACAGGAGTCTTCAGGACGTCGACACACACAGAGCACTCTTCATCTGACTCGCTGACGACCCTCAGCCTGTTAACCAGAGTCTCACGCTTCTTTTCGAAGTCTTCCTCTTCGGAATCTGAAAACGATCACCATCCTATATTAAAAACAGCTATATTTCGGAACAGCTATTTGGCAAATTTACAAAGTCTGATATCCACGCGTGTATTTTAACCATCAGAATAAACAACTAGGGAACTTTGTTTACAATAATTGTTGGAGGGGTATGTATGGTTTATACATCCAAGTAAATATATATTTGACATATCTCATGCATATTTTCATTGTTAAACATTTCATGATGGGATTTTTTACCCATGGTCTATATACAGACATATATACACTGGTATTCTAAAGCATTTGGTGGCATAACAACCATCTCGAATATTATATTTCCTTTGATAAAACATTAAGATGTATCCGGATCTGGAGGTAACAAGTGCAACGCCAGTTTTCGTAACAAAACTAAGATCTTCGTGCAAAATGATTCGCTAAAATAGAGCATATATCTGTGCACATTATGGTTTACTGACCGAAGTAGATGTCATTCAGGTGTATTTATGTTTCTAACATCCTAGTCAGTCCATGCTTATGAGCAGAGCAGAGTAGCCTGGTTAGGTGTATTTCTGACGTCATGAAAACATTCCACCATAAAATATTAAAATCTTCGTGCTGGGAAACAAACAGCAATGACAACACATGTTTACGTTTTTAAAAATATAGACAGACCCGATTCTTCGCTTGGTATCCAATCAGAATTGCGGGCCAGTAGGTAGCTATGACAACACATCTGTCGCAGTCGGAGGATGATCACCAACACAAGAAAGTATTTCTTCAATAGAATGTTGTTCCGAAAATAGCTGGAAGAGAGTATCAAGTCGTGGATTGCGACTCTGCCAGTTTGAACTCTAACAGAAGACTAAGTTGGATTAAGTTTGATACAGAAGTCCTCGCAGAACTCCGACCAGTGTATGCATTATCTATATATTTACGTTTGCTTGTTAAAGCCTTCTTCTGCTTCTATGTATTGTAAAAATGGATCACTTCTGATACTGTGAGGTCTGTCTACACTTTTTTTCTTGTGTAAACAGAGTTGTTTCCGGTGATGATGAATATCTCATTTATATTATTGAAGTAGAGTCTTTATTCATGTAAACAATATCCTTGATAAACCCTTCTTGTCAATAAGAACAGGTTTCATGTGGGAACTGGGTTATCCGACTTACAATATCTGAGTTTAAGTTGTTTTAATTAGGTTGACTTTATACATATTAACCATATAAAATCAGGTGAAATACTTCTTTTGTCGAGAAAACGTTAATTCAGACAGGGTTAGATCTGGAGATCTCTACAGATATTTCCTGTGTGTTGGCAGCGATGTATCATGGAATAACACTCAGTTCCACCTACTCTTTTATCTCGATCTTCCCCTGCTCCTCCATGGACTTGTACTTCCTGCTCTCCTCGTCTGACATCTTGATTCGCTCAATGTACACTTCTCTCTTGGGCAGCTTCACAAGGGGCTCTCCATCTACGAGGGTGGTCTTTGTCCTTCGCATAGCGATGTTACCCATCAGGTGCTGGACAAGTCTGAAGAAGGACCTTATTATTATATCATCTACTGTGACTGTATTGAAAGTTCATACCAGCAGTGGTGGCATCTCAACTTGCTATTACGAACGTCGACTATCATTGAACGGCAGGAACAGTAATTACACGATTTTCCAGTACCTACCTAAAGGCTATATTCAGACCACGTTGCAAGGGTTCCTCAAACAACAGGCGGTCCCACCAGTACCTTTTATTGAGAGGTGTCACGTTAAGGAAACTGATGAGCGGCCACAGATCCAGCATCCTGTTCTGGATGGGTGTACCTGGTATACACAGATATGATATATACTACAAACAAACAAATATGGGAACACCCTAATATTTGATAGTTATATATACACTGAACCGTGGTGAGGTCATTTATACTCTAAGGTAAATGCAACTTTTGATGTGCTTAATAGGCACTTTAAACGACATGTTGGAACGTGCATTGAAGCAACTGATTCAATATTCCTTGAGTTTGAGTGAAATGAAACATTGTTAAAAACAGCGAAAAACAAGGGTGCTGAAACACACTAGCATCATGTTTGATTCAAACGCCCAAACACAACAGCCTAGTGCATGTGGAAGACAGACCTCCCATGCAGCTTGTAGCAACTGGGCACAGGCAGTTGTGAATCGGTTCCGAAGGGCTTGGACCATAACATATCGGTCATCTGCCCTTGATACTTTTCTGGGTATTCCAGAGCGAGGTCTGTCCTTTACTCTACCAGTGGCCTGGAACCTGTCCCTCAGTCTGTGAATGACAGAGGGAGACACCTGAAGCCGGAGAGCAACACTTCTTATGGATTCACCATCCTGTAACCATGCAATGGTCCTGCTTCTGCTGCGGGCGCTTAACGGTTTGCGCTGTGGCATGGTGATGAAAATGTGAGGTTTCGATACTGTCTGTAGCTTCTTTTAAAGGAAAAGTTGCCACAAGCTGCATGGGACGTCTGTCTTACACATGCACTAGGCTGTTGTGTTTGGGCGTTTGAATCAAACATGGTGCTGGTGTGTTTCAACACCCTTGTTTTTCTTTTTTTTTCACAATGTTTCATTTCACTCAAACTCAACGAATATTGAATCAGTTGCTTCACTCCATGTTCCAACATGTCGTTTAAATTGCCCATTAAGCACACAAAAAGTTGCATTTACCTTAAAGTATAAATGACCTCACTACGTTTCAGTTTATATATGACTATCCAATTTTAGGGTGTTCCCATATTTGTTTGTTTGTAGTATACTTGTGTGCACAAGGTGCTGTTGGGTAGTATAATGGTTAAAGCGTTCGCTCGTCACCCCAAAGAACCAGGTTCGAATACAGCTAAGATTAGCGTAAAACCACATTCACTGACTCACTTACTCGTATGTTCAACATCACTAGTGAAACAGCAAGCGTAGATGGTTTTCTGGCAATAGTAGTAAGCCTTAAGCTGAATGAATTCAAACAATGATAAAGTTCTCACTGTGATAATATTCGAGAAAGTTATTGTGTTAAGCATTTCTACGGAGTGATTAATTTAAGGAATCTTCAGGTAAGCACAACCACCCAAATATATAATGATTTAATTTACGCTACGTTTAAATTATTATACTGTGAATAATGCCATGCTGTGGTTGTAAAAAATGTGTGAAAAACTGAAATTCAGCGTTACCTGAGAGAACCCACTTGCGTTGTGCTCTGAGGGCAATCGCCGCTTTCGTTTGCTGAGCCCTTGGGTTTCTTATTATGTGTCCTTCATCCAACACAATGCGAAGCCAGTTTATCCCAAACAGTGGGGCTTCCTTCTGATTCAGGTAGTTCTGAAAGTAACCATGACTCGTCGTCCCTGAGCAAGTCATTGAACTACACAACTGTGACTTTCTTTTCTATAGTTCCTTCACATAGATATGTTTCCGTCAATATGTTGGCACAAAACTCTGCAAACGCAGAATATCGGAGCCATAATGTGTTTTAAAGGCACAATGTCACACATGTTCGACAATGTTTTGGCCAAAATGATATATATTTGGGCACATGCACTCACTTTAGCTTCCTATTGATGCAATAAAAGACCCTGAAAGGTGGTTGAAGTATTGTGAAATTATTGTCCTCCTGAAAGGGTACGTAAGTCCCAAAACATTCGAAGTAAATTTAAACCTGCTACTCTTTTTAATCAAAGTATATATGTTATTTTAATTTATGGCTAGATTATCTAAAATTGCTAATAGCTGAAGGGATGGTGTAAATCCAGCTAGGGTCCATGCAGGGAGCAAATGTACTGTAAGTCCCCATGGTTCCTAGTATGGTGATCTACCTTCAGTTGTTGGCAATATATAGCCCATTTTTATATTGTACCGTTAAATTTAGAAATAGCGTTGTATGGTTATATGCTAGTTTAAGTATAAATCTGAGATAGACTAGTTATTTTACTGTCCTTCGCAGACAGGTAAGTATATAAGTTTGTTTATATTTCATGTATACATTTATAAATATATATGGCTGAAATACTGCCGTTGTGACTATAAATTTTAACTCACTCACTGTGCAGGGAAATGGCTACAATTTATCAAAATGATATGTATACCCACCTTGAATTCACTCCGCACAACTCCATATGTTGAAATTACGACATCCTTCCTCTCAAGAAAACTGAATTCTTTACAACGCTGACTGCCATGGTAAGGATAGACGTCAATGTGGACGTTAGGGTGAATATGCTCCACAAACTGATCCTTTGAAATACAAAGCATTAATCACGTGGCTATATGTTACAATTTAGAACCATGGACACAAAAGGTTTCTTCTTCGAGTGGCATTTTTAGAAGTTGGTTAGTTAGATCAGAGACCATATAATAAATATGGTCTCTGGTTAGATAAGGACAAACGAATAAAGAAGTTGTTCATCCATAAAGTTTGTCCATTCGTGACCAACTCGTGTTATTCCGGAACAAACCGAATGGCGACTCGTGCCCCTCTGGAAGGATTTCATATTGGCGTATGAACATCAGAACTACTTCAAACAAGTACGATAACTCTATTCCTGTTTGATTCCAATGGTACTTAGTATCACCGATGCACTCGTATATGGTATTGCTGTTTGTTTTTTGGTTTTTATTCATTTCTTTTAATGAATTAATATGAAGCCTCTTTGATACAACTAAAAGATGAGAAAAATGTTTGTTAAACACTTATTCTAATGTAAATATTACCAGCGGGTCATCTTAATATATTTCGAAATGTTTACGTATTTCCAAATGTTTATTTCTAAATAGGGTTTAAGAATCACAAATGGGATTTATGTTTTTGAATAAGCATTTTTTTCACCTACAAGTAATCCCAAAGCAGATACTCAAAAATGACTTTAAAATATTTCTCAAACTGAACATTCGTGTAACCTTGCTGCCATACACTTAAAATATATACGCTAAAAAATAATGGATGACCCCCCAAAAGGTCAGACTAAAATACTTTCAGAGATGCGAAAATTAAGCTCAATGTTAAAGATTAAATGTGATTAGTTATATACAGATGTAATATTATTGCTTTGAAACGTGTAGCGATTTATAATTTTATTTCCTAAAAATGTTGGACGCGCCCGTACAATATCCAAAACAAACCCACAAGATCGTCAGAAATACACACATTTGATCCCATGTGAGCCGTTATGTAAACAAACGCACCTGTGTGTATTTGAATTTCTCATCGTCCATGGCATTAATTATCCTCATTGAAAACTTCACATGAGGCAACACAATTCTGTTAGCTACGTTCTTTGTACTTTCAATAAGATTATATATATTTTTAATGATTTTTTTTAACAATGACCTTATGGCATAAAACGATTCAAGTACTCGGGATTACTTTTATCAAAGCACAGCAATCATTACGCTCGTTCTGATTGGTTTGTCGCATTATCGCACAATACAAGCATCGAGAGCGTGACGAGTCATCTTGGAGGTTACGGAAAGGGACTAGTGGTGACGAATGAAAGTTTGTCCTTATCTGACACAAAAAAGTGTTAGTCAGTATTTGATATACCTTCATTAGTGGTGGTTTCTGAATAGAAGTGGGTACCGTTAGCGTTGTGTAGAAAATCGAATGGACATCGTTTAGTCTCCATTTGGTGTCTGTCGCCTTTTCCAAATTTACGAGATTAGCCATTAGCCTTTCATCAAATGTAATACATTTGAGGACAACATTGAGCTGCTATAATTTTCTCCAGTTCTGCATGAACAGCAAAATGTTTCAGTTCTAATCATTTGCGATCCCAGCATTTTCCACATGTTTTTTCTAAGGGAAAGATACAGATTTTAAAGAGTAGAGGAATAAATATGTCATATTTGTCGTGGTTCACCTGCCAGGTACTGAGGACACACATAGGACAAATGATCAGTGTACCACGTGGCTGATCATTTTCACTGAGACTCCTCCCCATTTCATCACAATGATTGGCTGTCATGAAATCTGAAACCAGAAGAAATCCATTATCTTTGATGAGCAAGCGAGCACTGAACCTGTTACCTATAATCTTTACACGTTGAAGTTTGCAGATGCTTGAGACACTCACCCTAAGAAAATCTTTCCCTCATCGAAATCAGACATATATATATCTCTATACATGTACCTGGGGACCTTACCTGATGCATCCATATCGTCCTCCATTCTCTCAACACTCTCACAGCATTCCCATCGTTTGTCTACATTCGATGAGACGCCAACAATCATTACGTCAGGGTCTTCTGAAACACAGTCATTACTGGAAGTGACGTGAGGTGAAATTGGGTTCAACGTCGTGCTTGAGAATATTTCGCTCATATGACGACGTGCATGCGTGTGTATGTGTATGTGCGACTGCTTGTACTAGCCAAGATTTAAGCTGGCTTTATAGTGCTAGCCCACTGAGATACCATGCCGCAGTGAAGCATGAATACCCCACCCCATCATACTGACTCCAAGCCGACCAGTCCTTGTTGTACCCATTAATGCCGAGCGCCAGGCTGGGACCAACAAGTACCATATTTGAACGTCTTTTGGTGTGACGCGGTCGGGGATCGAACCCGCGACCTTCCGCTCTCCGGGCGGACGCTCTAACCACTACACCACGGAGGCGGTTTTACTGGAAGTGTACACAGAACAAATTGCTGATTTTTGAGGGAGAATGTCAAAGACTTTTCTTTGTTTTGCTAGTTCAATCACGAAACAAATGTTTGGAGAGGATAAAAGTCAACAGATAAAACATATTTCAATATTATACGTGTAATTAATTTTTGAGATAACGACATTAATATGAGAAAAGCAAGATTTATGGATGTCAACTTCTGTATTGTGAATAACACGACATATCGGAGTGTATGCTTGCTCCTTCATCACCTGATGAAGCCTGATTATTTTTTTTTTTGTGTGTGTGTGTGTGTGTGTGTGTGTGTGTGTGTGTGTGTGTGTGTGTGTGTTGCAGATTTCTTCATGCAGATATGCTCAAGGTGCAACAGAGACAGATTAAAAGAGTCCCCGACATTTATACAACAATATGTACACGTCCAAATAGAGTTCCTAATAATACATTGAAAACAGGTATATGTTTTAGTCCTGACTTGAATGTGACAATACTATCAGAAACTTTCAGATTGTATGGGTGTGAATTCCACAAGGCTGGTGCTGCACATGAAAAAGTCCGGTTTCTAAAAGCTTTAAGCCTGACGTTTGGCACAAACAGAAGCTCTTGATTAGATGATTGAAGGCAGCGTTTATTCGAATAAGGAGTAAGCAGGTCAGATAGATATGGGGGAGCAGGACCGTGACGGGCTATGTAGGTCAAGCAGAGGAAACACGCTAGACCCAACACTATTGCTGGTTTGTTTGTTGTTTAACGCCGCGCTCAGTAATATTCCAGATATCTGGACCAGACAATTCAGTGATAAACATCATGAGCATCGATCTACGCAACTGGGATACGAGTGTCAACCAAGTCAGCGAGCCTGACCACCTGATCCAGTTAGTCGCCTCTTACGACAAGTATGGGTTACTGAAGATCAATTCTAACCCGGATCTTCATGGGTCAGACTAACTCTACCTATAACTTAAATGCATCAATTCAATAAGGTGTAACTAAAGAAACATCACAGATATTTACAGATTCTGGAGACACTCACCCTCGGCAGATCCTTCATAACAGAATGTCTCGTCATAAAGATCAGACAGTTCATCATCATCATCATCATCATCATCATCATCATCATCATCACCATCATCATCGTCGTCGTCGTCGTCGTCGTCGTCGTCGTCGTCGTCATATGGAGATTTGTAGTTTTCTTTACGCATGCCCTTTGGGGTCGTACCTGATGTATCAAAATCGACATCCATTCTACCAAAACTCTCAGGGCATCCCCAACGTTTGACTGCATTTGATGAGACGCCTACAATCATTACGTCAGGATCTTCTGAAGCACATTCATTACTAGACGACCCTGCATTGTACACAGAACAAAATCCTGAATCTGGAAGGAAGTTTTCCCTGTTTTGACAGATCGCTGTCGGAAAGTGATAAGTAATAAAATACCCGATGAAAGATATTTCAATATTACATGTGTTGTAATCAGTTGTTAAGATAACGACTATAACATATTGCTTATAGAAATGTGACACACGTAAAACCATTAGAAGAAACTGATAGTCACACATAGAGAAAAAGACTTGGCCCAAACTGCATAACGAGGAAAATGTGTTCACCATGATATCAATTAATACTTAGGTCCACGGTGCGGCCCGTCACCTAGCAACGAAACCTATTTTCGTGAAGCCCCTGCATGTCCTGAAGATAAAATTGAATGTTAACGTTGAAAATATAGGGATGCACTACCTGCTTTTATCATATTGGTGGACGTCCCCCTAAATTGCCATTCGCGAGCCGCCTCAATTTTTGGACCTAAGCAAGAAGTCCACGGATGTTTTAAATTTCAAATGTGTAATATCACAGAAGAGCTGAAGGTATTCATGTTGCAATAATGTCATTTCCATTTGGGTATAACTTTCAGTGAATATTCGCTCTACGCATATCACTCTAAATATTTAATAACATTATTTTCTGCAAATATTGTTGGGAGATATTCATATACACAATTACAGGCAACAATCAAACATTAAACCTTACTTTGCCACAAAAAGGAATAAAATACAATTTGAATTATTTGAGTAATAAAAATTCAAACTATACACATGGTACAATGCACAAAAATAGCAACTGCGATATTGTAGATTTCTGTCCATGTATCACCCAACCTGACAGGAACTGGCACGAATTTCGGCATCCTGGACGAGAACTTTTAATGGTTTAACCTTCCGATGTCCCTTGAAAGTACTGTTTAGTACCGCAACCAGAGCATGCATGCAGTGCTATCAACGCTGTGTTTGTGACAAATGAACAGCGGAAGTACCCCGACATCGATCTACCTTTTGTGACAGTGACGCAGACAATTCTAATATTCTCCAAGTTGAGTGCATAATTGAGATCCTCATCCATACCAGATCCTCCATAACACAACTATTTGTCATCGAGATCAGGCAGTTTATTGTCATAATATATACAGTTATAGAAACATATATTCCTCTGTATACATACCCTGTAGGTTCCTACCCGATGCATCAACATCCTTCATTCTACCAACACTCTCACTGTGTCCCCGACGTTGGTCTGCATCTGATGAAACGCTAACAATCTCAACATTGGCACTATCAGGCTTCCCAAAACGTAACTTTGGAAGACACTGTGTCGTCTTTGTCAGGTGCTTCTGATCCCTCTTGTTGAGGAACTGCAACATGAACTGCAATATGACTTGAACATATTATCACCGTTCTTGGTGACCGTAACCTTAGTTTCTCTCCCAGATCCCGATTCTGATGCTTCACGTCCACAGAAACCTTCTAAAACAGCCTTTACACAATTACAAAGGCATTACTGAATGCACCTCCAAAAATGGAATTATTTTCAGAGATGATTTAACAAAACACTAAGGCAACAATAAGTGAACCTGTTTTAAATAAGAGTTTGTTAGACTCACAGCAACAGTAAAACAAGGATTGAAAATCAGGAATATTAAACAGATCTTGCTCATTCCTGTTCACATAATACTATATACACATTGTTTTAATGATAAAACCAAAAACAGTAAAAGCTCAAGAAAAGAATCCCTGTTTTAAGTAGACATCATACTGCAAATTTAGCAAGAGGATTATTCCTAAAGATTTTTCTTGTCGGGAAATTACAATAAAGGTAGTAAACACAATTTTTCCAATAACTTACCAATATCTTTTTTGCTTTTGAATTGTCAGAAGATTGTTATACTCAAGGACACCAATATAATTAATGGTTAAAAAATAAGATTTGATGGAGACTATCAAACCTTTTCTCTTCTGTCTCGTTGTGTGTCAGGCAAAGGAACAGCCAGTGGTCGATTGTCCACAAAGTTTGTCAGTACCAGAGAAATGATTTCCAGTGTCTTTCCCAGGCCCATATCATCGGCCAGAATACCTGGTGTGAACACGTTTTCAACGTATCAGAGAGACTATTTCCCGTTTTTCAGCAAAAGTAATTTTAACATTTTGGTGAGTATCATGCAGTGATTTTTATTTCTTAATTGTAAGCTAGAGGTCCGTAGTACAAGATACAACGGTTATGATTGGTGAGTGGTACAAGCACACTTCCGCTTTGACAGTGCATGGTGTAGCAACAGTCTGAAGAAGCTGTACATTTTCGGTTAACATTAGTGTACAGAATCTGTAAAATGTGGAACAGGACGTATACTTAGATGGGATATAATTGCTCCTTAGATATCCATACTGTGGACAGATGAGAAGAACGTGACATTCATCTTCAATAATATCACTGCCACACATTTTGCAGGATTGGTTCTCAGCAGTGTGCGAAATAGCCACTGGCCCGCTGGTCCGTGGCTAGTAAAAATCCAGTCGGGCCAGTAAATCTATTTGTATAGGGCAACTGAGGCAGCAATTTCTGTTATTTGCAGTCTTACCGCCTCGAACACTTGGTGGCTTTTCATAAGTACTATGATTCAGTACTCTGTTGTAATAATGGCCACTGTCTGTTATCTCCCAGAATGGTGGCAGCTGATATTTGTTTTCCCGGCCTATCATCCAGTGAAGGGCTTGCTTCTGGTGCTGGTACAGGGGCGTCCTCACAGCCTGGAAGGGTCGGAAAGGACGTCTGCATCCCAATATCTCATTCATGACGCACATGTAACAGTCATCTGTATATACACCTGTGAGTGGCCATTGGTGGTTGATGTTGTTTTTGACCTGAGTGACGTCACCGCGACACCGATAGTCACACCAGAAACAACGCGTGGTCATGACTGGACTGATGTATCGTTTTGTTACCGATAAATAGTCATGACTGGGATGATGCATCATTTTTGCTCACGATAAATGATCGTGAATAGACTGATGCATCGTTTTTGCTGACGTTAAACGTTTATAATTGGACTGATGCATCATTCTAATGTCAGCATGTTATTATTCTTGCTGACAATCGAAACTCTGGTGTTAATATCCACATAACTACCATTCTAAAACCTACCTCTGTCGGTTCTTGTTCTGTAGTTTTGTCCCCTTCGTTGAGTGTTCCAAACAGCTGGTCTACAGCATTGCTAACCTGGATAAAGGATACATATTCAAGTTAGATTATACTCAGTCTGTGCTGTAAGTTGTAATGTCAACCTTTGACAAGAGAAGATGTTATTTAATACCAGCCTACCTCAACTGGCGTGAACCTCTGCCGATGACTGTCAACGTTTGTGTGGTGGTTGGCTTCTAGCCCAGCGAAGGGTGCCGCAACAGGTCTTGCTGCAAAGTGTGGAACAGCAGCTTGTATATCCTCGTTATTGAAGACATGGTTGCCCACACCTATTGGTACTCTCTGTCCCTCGGCCACGTTGAAGGCTGCCGTGGCTGCATTTAAGATCATTGTGCACTTGTCTTTGTTCCAAGTAGGTCCGTACAATGTAAGCTGGATAGGCACGGTTTTACTGTTTTCATTGACGAGAAGTGTGTCTCTGAAGAAGAAGCACTGTCAAAATCAAATTGTTCCTAAGCTTTTCACAATGTTCGAAAAAATGCTTTGTAGACGATAATATAGTATGGAAAGTACGTCATGCAGTGTTTACGTGTATACAGAGGGATACAAATGTTAAGCATGGTTGACAGGTTAACCAGGTCGTTAGTGAAGGTACCACTCCTGAAGATGCGGGTTAGCATTGGTCTTCAGCTACCCACGCAGGAGGCGACTAACGGGCCAAACCCGCTGACTTGGCTGAAGCAAGTCATCGTATCCCAACTGAGAAGGGCTATGCTCATGATGCTGAGACCGACTCATATATAAACAGATCGCCGTCATATAGCTGATGTAATTCTGAGTGCGGCAAATATTGATGTTACTCATCATCAAAGATGCTATAAACTTTCATGATCTTACGCTTCGACTCTTGCTACACGATCAGCTTTGATTCTCATCATGGGGACATCAAGAGGTGGATTGAGTATACCCAGACACATCCTGCTGCTGTTGAAGATTGTTACTCTTTCCCTTCTCCATAGAACGTTCTCATACTCCAGTGATACCGACTCATGGCTGTTGATCTGAGGATAGAGAACATAGACAGTGAAACTAACTCTTGAGAAACTAGTGTTTTACCACTTGGCATGAAAACAAATTGTATTTGTTTATTCAGATTGACCTTGCACTGGTTTATGTTGCCAAGGAAGGTGTTGCTGTGCATTTTTAACTTCTCAAGACCAAACTTAGTTGCTGTATTCTGTATGATTGGTGATTCATCATCGACCTGTTTCGAACTACATCAGAGGGCGAAGATGGAAGCGTTACTCATGTCAAGACAACCAAAACTCTTTACAAAGCGGGCAATGTTACTTACATGCGGGCACCTTAATGCTTTACAAAGCGAGCAATGTTACTCATATCAGGGCACCTTAAAGGATTTTTAAAAAGGTTAAACACTATGCATTTTTATTACATAATGTCATTCAAACATGAATATATACCACATCTGCACCATCCATTTACGAAAAATAGTCGTAAAAATTATAAATATGCACCAAAACTAAAACCACTTTAGCCCCGCCCACTCGTATGCATATTTTTATTTTTTAGCGGTCTGCCTTTAAAATCTGTGGCTGTGACGTCATACCCGAAAGTCCGCTCAGTGTATTGACATTTCAGTAGTGTATACGCCATCGATTTGAAAGTGACACGAAGCGCAATATTTTGAATGAAGCGTTGTTATGTATTGGAAACTGACAACTGCACTTCAAGTTTTGATGATTATCCAACTGCGTAAACAACACGGGTGTTCATTTCCTGAGAAATTCTATTTGACAAGAGGAAGGTCATAGATTGTTTACTGTCGTCGTGCGGATTTTGTGAACCCCTCCACGCACGGTCATCTATCTGTTCGTTACACTTTTCGAAGAGGTGCTATGAAAGAGACCTAACCTCTGGCGAAATATGGATACGAATAGGCAAAACTTCAACTTTATAAGGATGCTATATATCGGGCATTCCTTTCGACATTCCAAACAAACACAGAGGCCGAAATGTCAATTTGGGACTGAGATCGATAGAGTTGCATTCCGGACGCGACGTTTGCTGCAGGTGAGTTTTAAGATGTAGTTGTTTTGGAGCAACATAAACACTCCAGTAGCTAGCTATATAAAGCAATAGTTAATGAAAAAGTACGTCATATATTTTGCGCTAATGTCTTATTTTCGATCAGAGATATATTTTCACAGCCACTGTTATTGTTACTCAGTGGGGCCAAGTCAGCTATTTCCCGAGACGGGTGTGAGTGTGTGCGGAGGGATTGGGATGGGGGTGGGCATGGACAAATGAGAGCTTGCAACATATGGGTGCGGTGGTGAGTGAGAGCACATAGAATTATTAAAACAAAACTAAAAATGAGTCATATAAGATAATTATCCACCAGGGACTGGTCCCGTATCATGTTAAAATGGTATGTGAATTGTGTGTGTGTGCGTGTGCGTGTGTGTGTTTTAAAATGTTGACTCTCCCTCTTTCCCTCGTTAAGGCAATGTACAATACATAAAATGAAAATGCACTTTCATAATACTAGGGTATTTTATATGGACCCTTGTAAAAACATCATGGCAGATGTATATATGGATATAGGTAACTTTTAACCCACTTTATACACTGTATTTCTTTGTGGGTTTTGTTTTTGGCAAATGTAAAACTGCCACTTAGAACAATGCTATTTTTAGGATGTACATGGCAGCATTTCACATCAATGAAAACAGCCTAAATACCCTAGAAGTGACCACGACTGGAGAACCCAAGTGGGCAATCAGCTACCCCCTAGGCCTAAACAAAGAGACCAAGCCAGTGAACAAGAAACCAACAAGTGGTAAATATAATTCAGACAATCACTATTTTTTTGTTGAACTGGTGCACTCCAGTTTGAAGAAAACCCCACTGTAACTATTACTGCATGTTTTTCCCTAACTAATGAGTAAACACTAAGTCTTGTTTGCAAAGACACTGGTTTTTAATCCTCATATCTATTTTCCCTCTCAGCATTTGTTAAAACAAAAGTACTTACTTTTTTAGAGCAGATTTCAAAGAAAATTATTATTATGGTTGTCAAAACAAAATATACTGAAATTGTGTTACAAAATGTCTCTAATTCAATGTAAAATTTTATCACAGAGTATGTGGAATTCCTTCTCAGGGCCATTCTCTAGAGAAGAAACATGTTTCCTTCCTACAGACTTGCAGGACACAACAGCCTATTTTTCCAGGATATTCTGCCAGACACTTTCATTTATAACTAGTAAACAGGAACTGGTGAATTCACTGACATCAAGATATAAAATGAAATCATGTATATGTGTCTAGGGCCTGAACTGAAACCAGTTGTGCCTGATGTCTTAAGGTCTATTGTATTCGTCTGTTTGAATCCTGGGACTTGTTCAGATGGTAAATGTTTCCACGTTGCAGTCACCACTGTGTCACATGGTGTTATTGGAGAGCAATCTTGTTTTCTTAGGCTTTTACCAGTCCATCCAGTTAATTTACACGCAAGCCTTTGCCTTCATGATGTTGGTGTACACACTGTATTCATTATTTTGACATAAACAGTTCAAAGTATGCAAATAAATTATTTGCTTTAATTTTTGTGTGCTGGTTTCTTGATTTGATTGCTGGTCTTTCTTTGGGACTGATCACACTTTACACATTACTACTAGAACACCATGAAGAATTTTCTTTTTCACTAGCTGACAGTTAAAGAAAACGGTAAGGATTTGTCAGTATTTATTGCATCTATATTTCTTTATTATATCTATTATCAGCTGTTAAGGAGGTTACTGTACAGGTCTTTATCATTTTACATTTTATGTATATTTTGCAGATTTATATGACTAAGTATCACGACATATAACAAATGCTTTACATGTGCATGGAAATTGAAAATGTAATAAAACTGATGTTTGATGCACCGATATACCGACTTCTCCGACAACATACACGAACGAATTTAAGGTACTTCTCTACAGTACAGTAGTGAGATCGAACTTATCGACTTCCGTAACGGTACGTATTTCATAGAAAAGATTATCACCATACTAAAACCATTACGGATAAATTTAATCAGAAGACGCATTTTATGAAATAAAGCTGAAAGTTACTTAATAACCTTAATAAACTCATGAACCTCGAACGTAACTATTTCAGTGTTTACCTTCCCGATGTATACCGGAAGACAGGCTCAACACATTGATCGAACATTGTTGTAATCGTGACTGAAAATTTTACTGTGACCGCTGAAAAATTAATTCAGTATGTAATCGGTTTTCCATGAACATGTGATAGGCAAGTGACTAGGGCTGGGACGGGTACTCGGGTTCTCGAATCCGGGTCGGGTGCAGCTGGAATCGAGTCCTATTTCTAGGAATCGAGTACCCGGAAAAGGAGAGAACTCTGTAATGGCAAGGGCAGATAATAACTTGTTTTTTTCATTATTGCCGTAACACACATTTGCATCATTGGTATTGTCCGATTAAGGGAGGTTATCATTAACGACTGTAATATATCTGAGCATGAGCAGTGAGGAGAAAAGTTACAGTAACAGCGGTAACGAAAAGTCCTGTGTTTTAACGAGGAATGCAAGTAATGGTGTTACTCTCTATATTTGTTAAATAGACATAAATTAAATAGCCTCAGTTCAGTTTCAGAGTCTTATTGTCATCCTTTCAAGTTTTCTATAAAAAGCTCTGTCAACTCGTGATTGAATATTCAGAAAGTTGAAAGAAGCGCTTTATTCCTTACATTTCCGGTTACTCGATTCCGATTCGGGTAAGTACATGCGGGTACTCGATTCCATTTTTTCCTACCCGTCCCAGCCCTACAAGTGACTTGCATACCAGTCTGCAGTAGGTCGGTTCAAAACATAGTCAGGATCGGGATCGTCCCACGGCTGTATGTTGTCAACTGGTGGAATCGTCGTTAATATTCATGTCGGTCTTGCCGCTAGAAATACTTTCAAATTGAGAAGGTTGTAAGAATGTGATATTATATGTATCTAGTATGCCATCCAAATCCAAGTTTGAATTCGTGGATTGATTTATATGCCAAACTTGAAGCAGACTTCAGTAAGCGAACAGGCTCGGTACCACTGTATTTCCGTGTGTTAATGTAGAGACTCTCGGGTATGACCGCCTACCTCATTATCTTGCGAATAGGCGAAATGCTTTCGAGGGACGTTCGTTTTAGATTCACAACAGAAGCTGTATAATGAAATATTACTGTTTATAACTGAATATTTTGTATATAATATGTATCTAGGTGTTCATTAAGACCGATTATAAACAATGTGTAGCAACCTTTTTAAAAATCCTTTAAATGCTTTGTAAAGCGGGCTGTGTTACTCGTATGCGGGCAACTTAAACGCTTTACAAAGCGGGCTGTGTTACTCATATCAGGGCTGTTACGACGTAAATTGTAATAAAAACGCAAATTGTAATACTTGCAGCAAATTGTAATAAACTTGACGTAAATTGTAATAAAAACGTAAATTGTAATAAACATTGACGTAAATTGTAATACGCAATTGTAATAAAAATTGACGTAAATTGTAATAATTTTCGTTGCGGTAAAATGTAATAAATATTTACACAAATTGTAATAACAGTTTGAATCACTCGTAAATACGCGGGTGTTTGTTTTTCGTTGCATTTCATACATCAAATAAGCTTGTTAGGGCGATAACTCAAGTAAGAAATGATGGATTTTGTTCAAATTTGGTACCAAGGTATATTGGCGAGATTCACCGACACAAGTGAAATGGAGTGACCTTGAGATAATTTTCAATGTCACAGCAAAAATCTGAGGGTTTTACCAATATAAAGATTGTTAGCGCGATAACCCAAGAAAGAATTGACAAATCTTAGCCAAATGACGAAAATGATATTCGTCCTGATATATCATCGATATAAAATCTCTTACTGTCTTTTCGCAAATATCTTTTGAGGTTTTGATATGTATAAATATAAAGTGGGGTGGGGTGGGGGTGGGTTTCTAACGGCTATATTAAGTCAAATCAAATCAA